TTGAAGGCTTTTGGAACGCCCCAAGAAGTTACCCACCAAGCATCCCAGTCCTGCTCCCGTGTGCGCTGCTTCTTGCTTTGAAGCCGCCGCCCAGAAGAAACGTCCTCTGCTTGGTAAAAGCTCACAACATGATCGTTTCACGCCTCCCCAAGACAACGGCCACAAGCACACAAAAGATACAAAAAGCAAGACCCGTCTGCAACATGCGCCTCTGCTATCTGCTGCAGTTCTGCAGGGATTTCCTGCGCACACTCGTCCAAGTGCACCATTAGCTCCTGGCATTGAACACCGACTCCATGGTGCTTATCTCACATCCGCAGAATTTCTGAATTGCTGCATCGAGATGTATGCCTCAAACATGAAAACAAAAAAATTTGATCGAACACGAGGGCTTCCCCGAAAAATGCGTACACATGTTAGCATGAGAGCCTCAAACCACAGCAGGTTTTCATAGGCTGCGAAGAGGGAGATCAAGAATTTGCAAACGAAGCACCCGCCAACAAACCACGAGCACACACACACACACACACACAAAGCCCAAAAGTGCTTTCGACTCTGCTTCGGGAGTTGCTCCGGCCAGTCAGCCGAGACCCCATCCGGGTCCATGCCGGTGCTGCACCATGCTGCACTCAGTGAGGTACGCGTGGCTTGTTACAGCGTTCATGTGGCCGAAGGAAGCAGACCATGGAATTCAAGAATCATGCCCTCCTTTGCCAGCTGCGGCACGCAGGGCGCGAACTCGAAGAACGTGATGGCCTTTCCCTGGCCGACAAGTGGCTGATACCATCAGTGGCAAGACATGCCCAACGATGTGAGCGGAGGGGCAACCAAAAGCCTAGGTGCTTTCGAAACAACGAAACAACGCAACTGCGCCTGCCCATCCAGTCCTCGTGCTGTGCGTCCTATGCGATGGATGTAGTCTTCAATGCATCCCGGCATATCGAACACGAAGACATGGGTCCTTCAGGCGCGCTCTCTGCAACAGACATACCAAAATGGATCGCGGACATCTCATCTTTTGGAGGCTCGACCCCGCCCCTTATTATCTGCACCATAGACACCGTGGTTTTGCAAGTGTTTTATGGGCATGTTGTGTGCATGGGGCCCCTGCTGTATTTTGTGAACGGGGCCCCCGACGCTTTCCGATCAGGGCCCTGTTTGTTCTGGGCATACGCTGCATCCAAGGCAGCTACACACAGCCAAAGTCATCCCTTGGGATGTTCCCCCTTACACTAACAGTCCCTAGCAGGGATTAGAGTACCCCCTAGTATAATTCCGATTCAGGAGCTGTTAGTATAAGGGGAACATTCCAACCCTAACCCTAAACCCTAAACCCTAAACCCTAAACCCTAAACCCCCTTAAGTCACCCCTTCAGAGCTGCCAAGCAGCACGTTGGGCAGGTCGATTCCACGGCCCAAGACGTCCGTCGCCACGAGGATGCGAGGGCCCGACCTGCTACTGTCCCCCCCGACATGGGGGGCTTTCGGAAAATAGGGTTCAGGGTTTAGGGTTTAGGGTTTACGGTTTAGGGTTTAGAGTTTAGGGTTTAGGGTTTGGGTTTCGCCACCCGCACTGCGCGGGGGTTTAGGGTTTAGGGTTTAGGGTTGACCCCTTAATATAGACCTCCAAATAGTAGGATCCCCTTATATTAGGGACCCAAACGAGGTACCCCTAACTTCGGAAACCCCATCCGTCTCTACTGCCACTGCACCTGCTTGGCTGCGAGTATAGCTGGGTTTGCTGCCGGGCAACGGTTTTGAGTTCGCGAACAAGTCGAGATTGAACAAGCGCTCCTTGCAGAAGCTCTGCGGCACTTTGCTGGCTGCAGCTTCAACTTTCCGACAGCGTGCCGTGGAATCGATTGGCACTAAGGAATGCAATGAAACAAGACTGGCACTTTCATTGTGAAGGCAAGGATCATCTTGTGTCTTGTTGCCATGGATAGCGACTGCTTCACAGCCTCGGGTTCTGTAGCTGCGGTCGTGGGAAGGGCCGACAAGCAAAGCTGTGCTCCGGAGCATCTCGGAAGATGTAGGACAAGCACATAAAGCCCCTACGACACTTGGAGGACCTCGAGCTCTCCAGATGTCTCCAGACATGGCACTTTGCACGACAGGCCAAATGCAAAAAAATGTTGCAAAACACGTGGGGCCAAGCGTGGGCCCCTTCAGCGACTTGCACTTCAGGCTCCTGATGTCCCGAGGCAATGGGGGCTAAGGGTTACCGCCATCGGGGTCTCCCCTGTTCCTTTCTGCGTGTTGCGATGTGTCTTGCGACGTTCCGGCTTGTGCACGCCTTTCTCTGCTGCTTTCTGCATGATCTCACATACCTCGGCTCCACCTCCCACGCTCAGGATGGTCGTTGTTTCTTCTCCTTCGCATACAGAACGATAACTTTCTTTTGTTGCTCAGACGTTGTACGGATATTGTATCTTCTGCAACGCCAGGTTCCGGAACAGGTACATGGAACTCCGCATTGTCGCAATCTCAACCAAGAGAACGTTGATTGGTCTAGCTGGCAATGACAAATGCTAAACCCTAAACCGTAAACCCTAAACCCTGAACCCTAAATCCTAAACCCTAAACCCTAAATGCCCAGGTCAATCCAGAGTTTGAGCCTGCTGGCAACTCTCAGCCAGCATCGCTCTCCACATGATCGGTTTGTTAAAGAAAGGCCTTCGGGCTGCCAAGCAGCTGGCTTCGTTCAGCTTCTCTACCAAACAGTCCTTGGTGCTTGCACGTGCCAGGCAGCCCGTCTAAGCAAGAACAAAAAACAAAAGCAGCAAATCTTGCCACTGAGAGATAGGTCTGAGAGTCTGCAAACTTCTTTGTCATGCAGAACACCAAGGCCTTGAAGAGAGGCCTTTCTTTCTCCTCCGAATCTCCTCCAACCTCCAGAAAAAGCCCATGTGAATTGCCAAGTGTGCCCCCCAACCCTGCAGACTGAGCGCGCCTGAAGCTCGAGTCCTGAAGCAAAAACCGGGGGGATTAGCTTGGCTTAGGGCCTTGGAGGGAAGCTTCGGGTTTGGGTGTGCTGTGAGGTTTCTGGTTTCGACCCTCAACCGCATAAGGTGGGCAAGGTAATTACGTCAGCCCCGCCCCCTCTACGCTGCCAATCACAATCGACCCTCGAACAACCGGGCTCGCTGCCACACCACTATGTTTTTTTCAGGAGGTGGCTGGGTTCAGAATATCCTTGCAATCGAGTCTCTCAGAAGCTCAAGAAGACGCGACAGTTTCCGCGTTTCCCGCTCTTCCTCCCATGGCGCAGGCTTCGCAAGGACGCAGCAAGTGGTGGACTTGCAGGTGCAGGGCAGAATTGAGGGCTCGTAGGTTGCGTTGCGTCCCGCGCACTCCGCAGGGGTTCGATTGCGGGATCTGGGGTGTGGGAGAGTTTTGGTAGCTTGAGAGTTGCAGGGTTACAAAACTTACAAAACTGGGTTGCAGCACGTTGCTCTGTCCTCCGACTCCTCCTGGTCGAACACTTCAACCATTTGAAGTATGTTCCTCCCAGGCAAGGGGTGGGTCTCCCAGGCCGGAAGAATCCTGGAAGCCACCGGCCTGTTTGCCAGACTCGTTGTCAACTGATCGCTGGAATCGCCTGCTCGAAGCGATGCCCAGCAACACCCGGGAACGGAAAAAGTTTCTCATCCCATTTGAACACCTACAGACTATAGACGAAACTTCAAGCGGCCGGCACTCCAAAGTAACAGCCCCTTCTTGTGGAAAGAGCATCTTGCCCCCCCCCCCCCCCCCCCCCTAATCAAAGTGACACTACCAACTGCTTCGCCGGCTCCCCTGTCGATGGGCCTGAACCAACCTGCACCATGACCTGAGCGGCTGCCCCTCAAGTCCAAGCTTCGCAAAACCCACCGCTGGGGCAACGGCCGGAGACTGTCGGCACAAGCACGAAGCTTGGAGCCCTACCTCGCAAGAAAACATCTCCCCTGGGGGAACCAATTTGAGAGGCCTACAAGAAGCAGGCAGGCCTTGCCCTCACACCACGTGGCAGAAAAGAAGAGCGTCTGCCGGAGCAGCGCTGTGTGTCGAGCCTTGCCGCGTCGTGAGCGGAGCATCTCAGAGCATCTCGGAGCATCCCCCCCCTCCCAAAATCACGGCTTCTGTGAGTTAAAGACAATGAGGGCGCGTGCCACGGCATCGAGTTGGTCTCCCAGGCCCTCCTCCAACATCCTGACAGGGAGACTTGAACCCTAAACCCTAAACCCCCTAAGCCCTAAACCCTGGAGACATCCTCAGAGGGAGTCTTAGGGGAGCCCGGAGCCCTTTCGGCTGACCCCAAAAGCCCCTGCACATGCGGAAATATGCAGATGGCCCTGTGCCCTGCGTCCTGTCCCCCTCGTCCAACACCAGCACGCGAACGCCGTGCAACGGGCGTCGGCCTTCGAACTCCCAGGGCTTTTCAGAATCCCCGCTGAGATGATCTCGGATACACCTCAGAACCCCAAAAGAATAAAAATAAGAATCCCTATATTGCCCTTATAAGGAGGAAAATGTTTGTTTTTCGGTGTTCTTAAGCAATTAGGAGAACATGGAAAGGAAACATGGATCACCCACCGCCCTCTACCAGCCCCAGAACTTCCTCAAACTGTCCCACCTTCGTCCACCTCACTGCAGATCAAGTCCAGCAGTCGCCCGGGTGTAGCAGCAATAACCCATGCATGGCCTGTGGACAGGACGGCTTTCCGAAACGGACGCGCCGGGGTAATGCACGCGGACGCGTGCGCACATGTGGGCGCTAGGACACCACATCCCTCCAGCAAGCCCTAAACCCTTTGCCCCAAACCCCAAACCCTAAACCCTAAACCCCAAACCCCACAGCCCAGCACCTAAGTGGCCCCTCTGGCGTGCCTGGAAGCTGCCGGTGTGGCCACTTCCTCCCATGCTGCAGCTGGTGCTGCTGCTCCCATCGGGGCGCCCCTCCCCAGATCGAAACCACCGAAACTCGGGACCTGGCTTTCAGGGTCTGCTTAAGGGAAGGTGTTTATGGGGTTTAGGGGTTTAAGGGATTAGGGTTTAGGAGATGGGTTCAGGGACTCGGGGATGGGTACCGGAGTCATGTGGGGCAGTCCGCGCGCCGCGTCATGCAGAGAGAGCTACGACTTCTTAAGCTTCCGGAACCCTGTTCTTTGCACGTCTCCTTGGATCTAACGCCTGCTTTTCCAATTTTGAAAACACCGCTCCGAAGTCAACTTCAGGATCTTCGAACAAAACTCCGCTGAGTGGCAGGGCTTCGTCGTGGCTCTCAACATCCAAGGTCTGGGCAGCATCCTTCCACAACAAGCAGAGAAAACTCGAAAAAACTCGAACAGCTCGAAACCGCGCCCCCCCCCCCCAATGTGCATAGGGAGAATGGGGGTTCGGGTTTCGGGGTTTTTCGGGCTCCAGCGATGCTCCAGGACGCTTTACAGGGACCCGAGCCCTAAACCCTTCTTGAAAGGGGGCATGAAAGCCCCCAATAGGTTGTCCCCCAAGTTCTCTCAAAAACCTGAAGCCCCTAATCCCGAAACCCTAAAACCCCTAAAACCCCAAAGAATCCCCAAAAAAAACAATCCCAAAAAAAACCCTAAACCCTAAAGTAACCCGAATCATCCGCCTTGTCCTGGCTCGAGCCCAGCAGCGCATCGGCGCAGGCAGCGACTTGGAGAGCCAGTTCCTTGAGAGTCTGAATCAGGGAGGAGGGGACTTTAGGGTTTAGGGTTTAGGGTTTAGGGTTTAGGGTCTCATAGTAAAAGTCCTCAGTAGGGATTACAGTACCCCGCGACTACAATTCCCTACTAAGGACTGCTAGTGTAAGGGGGAACATCCCAAGAGGAGGCTTCCTCTAAGGTGCTCGCCTCTGATACAGGGCACCCCAGAAAAGTACGGGTGACAGGGCACGGGTTGCTGATCCCCCAATACTCAAGTCCGCCCAAAGTGGTCCTCAACAGCTGTAAGAAAACCAATGTAGACACATACCGAACCCACAAGCTCCCTCTTTCAGATTTTGGGCGGCGGCCTTCTTTCACAAAGTCCGGGGGAGGTGAGACGTTTGCGGGCAAGCATCTCGAGTTGGCAGAAGAACCAGGCCAAAGGCACCTTCCGGAAGCCCGGCCGACAGCGCCCGAAGCAGAAGGGGCAGCAAGTAGGCCAGCGTCCTGGGAAACACTGACCGGGGGGGAGGGGTAGTGTAGGGTTTGGGGTTCAGGGAAGGTTTTTCGGCCGACCTGGGCTTAGGAATTCGACAAGGGCCGCTTGTGAGTTTCGGTTCAGGTCAAGAGGCTTGCCGCTGCCGGTGGCGGCGATGCCGACGAGGTCTTGTCCAGTGAGGGCCACCGGGATGGCAGCTCGCTGGATCGGAGACGGCTTCAGGATGCCTGGTAAAAAAACGCTCATAGTTCACCATTGAAAGCCCTCTCTTGCATCCAGCCCAAGTGTGCCTCTGCTTTCAAGGAAACCTCATGGGTAGAAGCCTAACACGGATCACTGTGCAGCCTCAAGGCATTCTGACCCTAAAGCCCGAAACCCCTGAAGCTCATCAACTAAAACCCCCTAAACCCTAAACCCTAAACCCTAAACCCTAAACCCTACGCCCTTTTTTGAAACCGGACACCCTAAACCCGGAAAAAAACAGGTGGAAGAGGCACCCTGGAGCTGCAAGTTCTGCTCCAGTCTTCGAGGGAGACTCATCTGTGAGAACGCGCAGAACTCCTCCTGCATGGGAGGAACGGCAAACCGACGAAAACCAGCGAAGCCCCCGGACACACAGGGAGGGGGGGGGGGTGGGGGCGGATGGGTCATCTAGAGCATGATCCTCCTTTTTTTATCTCCCGAGTACCCGAAAACTATGAGGATGATTCTCGGCCCCCCGCATCCTGAGGTACATCCTCGTGCTCCTCGTTGCTCAGTGGCCCGGTGCTCTTGAACCATCGCTCCTGTGCTCAACGCATGTGATGCGAACGAACATGCGCTGCTGTCTCGCAGCAGCATCCGGAAGCCTTGATGTTGCCGATGATCTCCTCAGGAATTCGAAGATTAACGCTCTCAAGAGAAGTAACTTCTCAAGAAAAGAAATCCAGCAAAAGATCTGCTGGCAGGCTTGCATTTTCTCGTTCAAGGCTCCCCAGACTTTGGAGTGATGTGTTGGGGCAAAGACAGTTCCCTCACTATCTCTACATTCTCTACCTTGGATCACGCGGGCTTTGCCAGAAGGTGCTGCAGGGTGCAATGCCTACAATGCTCTCTACAACAGTCCGTTTCCCAGAAAAGGTGCAGGGGGGTGCATAGAACAAAGGCCATATGTGACTGTGCGAAAGCTTTTTCTTTAAGGGGAGGGGTGGGGGTTGTACATTTGGGGTACAGGAACCGGCAATTGGGAGAAAAAAAGGCCGGACCTAATTTTGCATCCAGAGGCTCGGCTCCCGCCGGATCTTGCTCCAGAGCCGCTTCAAGCAGTCCTCTGAGGAAAGGACGCCTCTGGAGCTGTGGAAACATTGGCAATTCCATCAGAAGGATCCGAAAACCATCACAAAACCCCTGCTTGCAGCTTTTTTTCTGGGGCGCAGATGCCTTGTACACCCATGGCCCATGCACCCAAAACCAAGCACCCCTAAACCCTAAGCCCTAAGCCCTAAACCCTAAACTCCTCGGCGCTCGTCGTCCGACAGGCTGCTGTGCGCGGCGCCGGCCTCCCCCCGCGTCGGAAGGGCGCAGCAGCCGGAGAGGCCGACCAGGCCAGGGGACGGCTGCGGACCTGGGAGTTGTTGATTTTTGTTTGTTTAAGGGTTCTAGGGTTCTAGGGTTTTAGGTGTTAAGGGCAATAGGGTTTTAGGGTGAAGGGTTTCAAGGGCTACAGGGTTTTAGGGTTTCGGGTTTTTGGATCCCTCTCTTTGGTGGACGGGCTTTAAGAAAAAGGGCTTCCCCACTGCCCCCCCTGAGGGCGGCACAAAGCCCAGCTGGCACCTGCCGAAAAGAAAGAGGAGCCCTTTGAAAAAAAGAGGGAGAAAGGCACGGAGAAGCCACGCACGTGCACGGGGCGCCTGGAGGATGAAGTAGCACCTCTTGCAGAAGTAAGGGCTCGGACCTTTTCGAGGGCCTTCCCAGATAGGTCCCTGGTGCAGGAGGTTGAAACCAATCTTGCTGAACATCTTCCGCCACTCTGAGGCCGGATGGAACTGGCCGAGATGGTCGTGACCTGGCAAGGCATCCTTTTATAGTTTTGCACAGGAAAGCTTTGTGTGGGGCTTTCTTTTTGACCACCCAGCGACTGCTCCAGGGCTACTGCCCAGATTAATTCAAAGCGCAATTTGGGGTCCAAGTAGCCTCGCGTTCCTTTCCAGTGAATGGTCTCCTCCGGCGTGTCTTCACAGATCACGACCCAACTTCTTGACACCCTGGCCGCCTGGGCGCTTCAGGGATAGCATAGCGAACTCGTGGAACACAAGAACCCAAAAAAAATAAGAGGGTCCGGGGACCCCATGTCAGGGCCTCCATAAGAAGTGCCCGTTGCAACTCGAAGTGCCGGCAATGATGCAGCACGAAGGAGAACAGCGCACCTTTGCAGAGGAAGGCGACTGGACTGCAGCGCACTTTGGCTTGGCAATTGGAGGCTGGTTTTTGCTGAGTCATGTAAGCCCGCAGTGCTAAGTTCCGAGTGGGACGCAGTCCATGCTCTTGTCCGGCAGCGGCAACGTCCGCCCATCGAAGAGCCCCACGTCGAACTCCGGGTTCGCTGGCTGGACGACATCCAGGGCCGTGGCCTTCCAAACGCAAAAGGAGAGCACTCGTAGAGAGTCGGCATATAGAAGGTGCGTGACTGAGTTTCTGCTGCTAGAGGAAGGAAGGCAGGCAGGCAGGGAGGGAAGAACGGAAGGAAGGAAGGAAAGAAGGAATCGACCAGTGGCCTATGACACTCTTCCCACATCCTTCCGGCCCCGTGAAGGATTCCAAACATCAGGCCCCCCACACCGCATTCAAAAATCCTTCAGGCGCGTGGGGGTCCTGAAGGATTCCAAAACATCCTTCAGGCCCTGCATGGATGACACTGGATATCGATTACAATTTGAATTTAGATCTTAAATCAATTTTAATACACCCCCTCCGGGCGGGCCCGTGTCGGCCCAGGATACCAATTAAAATCGATTTTTATACCTTGCAGGGTGTCCTAATCAGGCAAGAAGGGGTATCAAAATCGACTTTATTTAAATGATGTTGACCATGTCTCCGGCCTTGGGGTATTAAAATCAATTTTAATACTTTTCGCTTGTGCTTAGGGGGCTTAGGGAGCTTAGGGGGCTCAGGGGGCTTGAGGAACTTTCGGGGTTGGGGGGCTAGGGGCTTGGGCGTAGGGGTCAAGGGGCTGACAGGACAGGCCTGGCAACAGTCCTACGAGGCAGGGGAAGGGGTTCGGGAGGAGGGGACAACGACGGCAGGGACAGGCCAAACCTTCCTCCATGCTTTCACCCCTCCCTCCCCAACCCCCCCCCTCCACCTCACCCCTCCCCCTTCCCCCTCCCCCCCCCCCCCCCCCCCCCCCCCCAAGCAATTAAATCGATTTTGAATGAGAATCGATTTTTACATTCTTTCATAATCGGAAGCAATTTCAAATCGATTTTCATACTGTCTGGAGGGGTCTGGAGAGCAAAACGAAGTAGAATCGATTTTAATGGCTTTCACAATGGGAGGCAATCAACATCGATTTTAATATGTTCTGGAGGAGTCCAGAGAGCAAGATGAACTGAAGCGTTAAACTCTGGACCAGGGTTTTAAAATCAATTTTAAGTCATCTCCAAGGCAAAAACTCAAGAAGGTATGAAAAATCGATTTCAAGTGATTTGCAAACCGAATCAAGAAAACCTGGAAGCAGGTACTCAAATCGAATTTAAACAAAGAATTGAAATCGAAATCCAGACTCATTCGGCCCGGCATGGGGGCCCTGAAGGATTCCAAAAAATCCTTCAGGCCCTGCATGGGGCCTTGAAGGATTTGTTATATCCTTCAGGGCCGCCTGAAGGATTTCTTGGAATCCTTCAGGGCCCCCATGCGGGGCCTGAAGGGTTTTTCCTTCAGGCCCCGCACGGGGGCAGTGCTTTGCTGCAAGAATGACACGCGCATCGCTGCATCAAATCGCTGGCTTTTGAACGGCCGAAGAAACAGATCCGACCTTCGTGCGCATGTGAACCCTATATGCAAGCTACTTTCTGACCCTCCATCCTCTTGACACAGACCTATGAAGCTTGCAGCTTGAAGAGCACTGAGCCCCAACAGAAAAAGGGGTCGCAGGGCTACAGGCTTGCTGCCATAAGGTTCTTGGAAACACCCTGAGAACTGCCCCCAAAGAGAGCCCCGCGGAATCCCCCAAAAAAAGGCGCCTCGAAGCCCCAGGCCCGAGTCAGCCACGCGGCCATGCGCCCGTGCCCCGCGCCGATGTCCACGACCCGGCGGAACGTCGGCTGCCTCCGTCGCCTCTGCAGAGGAAAACGCCGGGTACCCCACACCCTTTTGCAAGGAGAGACCCTAAGGTGGCATCCCGGGCTAAGTGGAGGAGTTTTGGGGGGGAAACGAGGCCTTGCGTGCAGATGGAACAGGAGTGGCCCCGCAAGCCTGAGCGGAGGATAGGGAGGATGGAGGAACTCACCTTGGCCGTGACCTTCCGGGCATAAGGGGCGCCTTTGGCTCGGCTTAACGGCGACTTCTTGCCCCCAAGGTGCTCCAGTGTGCCGTATGGCTTGTACCCCGTGAGTCGGGGTGTAAACACGGAATCTCGATCTCGACCTGACCCACGGCCAAGCAAGCAGAGTGAAGACCGAAGTCTCAAGCCTATGGGCTGCTGTCCGCACTCCAGCGGGTCCTGTTCTGTCGCTGGCATGCGCTGCGAGCAGAAACTCTGAGATGCTCTGTCGTTGCCCCAAAACCCACCCTTCAACTCTACAACTGGGGATGTATTCGATGTATACCAACAGTCCTTCATAAGGATTCTAAGAGGAGGTACTACACAAGCCCTATTAAGGAGCTGGTTAGCAGAAAGGGGGGAACACCCCAATCTACAACAAAGACCTGGGCCCCGGCTGTCCAGGCGCGGCAACCGGGTTCCCGTAGAGCCCCCGCCTCGCAAAGGGTTTAGTCGGGTTTAGGGTTTAAGGGTTTTGGGTTTAGGGGTTTAGGGGTTTAGGGGTTTAGGGGTTTAGGGTTCAGGGTTCAGGGTTCAGGGTTCAGGGTTTAGGGTTTAGGGGTTAGGGGTTAGGGTTTTTTTGGGGCCAGGGCTTTTTTTAGCACCCGCATAGCGCGTCTGGGGTTTAGGGTCTAGGGTTTAGGGCTAATACCACGCAACAAAGTTTGCAATATCCAAACATAGATAGTAGCAATCATAAGAAGAGCAACCATCTCCTACAATTTTTGTGCGCCAGGGCGCAGGACTCCAGCGGCGGCAAACTTGGAAGCTCATCGTCCGTCCACGAGGTGAGCAGCTCCTCTCCCACTTGTTCTTAAAAAACCCATGAAAACCTGTAAAGCCAAAAAACACAAGGGCTTCTTTGGCACCTGCACGCTCAGCAGGTCTCCGAGAGGGTTTAGGGTTCAGGGTTTTAGGGGGGTGAAGCCCGCAAACCCTGGCAGCGCGAGAAAGAAAACTCTACCCATCCACACGCCTCACGTCGGCCGGCATCGTTCAACAGTTTCACCTTACGGGGGCTCTCTTCTCAATTGGAACTATGATTGCTGCTGTTGAAAGTCTATGAGTCTTAATTCTTGTTTGTTGCGATTATGGTTTGTTCTGCTGCTTCTTTCAACGCTCAGAGCACAGAGGGGAACGGTTCTCAGGTTTGGGGCCAGTGGGCTTTTGGGACTTGGGGTGTCTCTTTGCCACCCGCCAAGCTGTTTGATGTGATAGGAAGTCCCATCACTCGATGGGCATGGATCCGCCGCATCATTGAAATCACTGAAAGGTTCCTGGGGCATGCGATATGGCCCGATATGGGGAGATGATGTTGCATAGTGAGACGGGACTATGATGCTCGTCTTCGCTGAAGCCGGAGACCCCTCCTCAACGCCGAAATCTTGTCAGGGCACGCCCGCCGAAACTTCCTCCTGCGTGAAGAACCGGGTGTGGAGGCCAGATGCTTCCCAGCCCTCACACAGGCATCCCAGGCGCATGGGAATGCTGCGGAATGCTGCCAAGAAGCAGTCCAACGGCTGCATTCTTTCTAGCGCGCACCACGAGAGATGGGACTTTAGAGAATCCATCCAAGGCATCGCAGAGAGCAACAGCACCGAAAGCAAACAGATTTGACCATGCTGCCATCGGGCCTCGTACTTCTGCTGCCTGCGGTCCCAGGCAAACACCAAGTACTTGTACCTGCACAACTGGAGTTTCACTGACATGTGTTCCGGAAGATTTCGCCGAGAGTACGCAGGGCGAGAGCCACTTCGGCACTGCTTCAGAGTGTGCTGGCACAAACTCAAGCAAAAACTAAAGTAACTAAAACATGGGAGCGCAGCTGCACTTTGCTGAACCAAACCATGACACCTCTACTCAAGCCAAGTGACAAGCCAGTCCGCTGCCAGGCCTTGGGAGTTCTCAAGCCGCAAAAAACCCCCACCGAAACAGACACCCGTGTTCAAGCAGACTACGCGTTGGTCGTTGATTGCCTCTAAGCACAAGTGCCGCTTGGTGGCAAGGGGATCCTTCACATAGGCACAGAAAACCGTGCCACGCTGGAAGCGTTCGATCCAACGTGTGCTTGACGCATCAGCTGGCTCTGTGACTCCGGCCTTTGCCTGTGCGGGAACATGTCCGCATAGCCACTTCTCGAAGGAAAAGAAAAATAGGAAGCATGACTTTCAGCAAGCCCCTGAATTAAGTGGCCTGGGAGTGCCATGCGCGCCAAGCTGGACGCCGCCCGTCCCCACGTGCCATTTGAGAATGCCAGGGGCAAATTCTGGAACTGACGGTATTGGCGCATGATCGATTTGTTGGGGCTCCGCTTGCCTTTGCTTCTGAGCTGCAGATTGAGCCAGAGTTCTCAACGGCTCAGCTCATCCATCACAGGCGGTGCAGTTACAAAAATGCGGACTTTGAAATGGACGACTTCGAAGCTTCGCAGGAAAGGAAACTCCCTTCCATGGAGACCTCTGCCACTCCCATTCGAGCAAGCACAAAATAACTGGGGGATGTAGGTCAGCTGCCTGGCGGAGTCCACCCAAAAGGGGGGCGTGGGGATTCATGGATGGTCGTCGCTCCTTTTTGCGCGAGGGGCCTGCACTCATCGCGCTCTCCTCGTCGTCGACGTCCTCGAGGTCGATCTCCTTGGCATCCGCAGCCCGCAGCGCCCACTTCGCCTTTGCCGCCAGGCGCCCGGCGGGCCAGAGCCGAGGCTGGCGCTGCGCGCGCCGAGCCTGGCGAAACTGCATCTGCTTTTTGCTTTGTTTGCATCTGTTGGTTTGCATCTGGTTGTTTGCACATATGCTGCATTTGCTGTTCCTAAGGTGCGACAGCGTCAAGTGGCTACAGCGGCTACAGGGCTAAGTTACCCCAACCCCGGAGAAGGAGAAGGAAGCTCTCAAAGCAGGGAGGGCAGTTGCGGCCCGGGCGGGGGTAGGGTTTTCTTTGCGGTCACTGGGCCTCTGCCCGCTCCTGAGCCTCTTGCTTGGTCTTCTGGCCATGGCAGGCCGCACACAGGGTCTGGAGATTCTCCAAGCCGCACACACCACCTCCGCGCCAGACCGGGACAACGTGGTCCGCTTGCCACAGGAAGCCTTCCGTCAGGTTCCCGCTCCTCTGCGGGCTGCTGGGCGGCGGGCTGCTGGGCTCGGGCTCCGCCTTCTTGGCCTTCTTGGCCTTCTTGGCTTTCGCAGCCTTCGCAGCCATCCCCTCATCGCTCCCCTCCTGCCCCTCCTGCCTCTCCTCCTTCCCTTCGCAGGAAGCACCCTTGGTCTGCAGGTGCGAGGTCAGCGCGCGGAGCCGAGAAGCCTCCTTCAGGTCGGTGCTCGCGGTGCTCGCGGTGCTTCTGCTGCTCCCGAGATCGTCCGCCAGGCGCCGCAGCTTCACCAGGCGCTGTGCGGGAGCGATGTTTTGCAAGCTCTGCCAGAGGCTGTGACAGTCCAGGCCGCAGCGCTGGCAGACGCCCCGCTCCAGCTCGAAGAGCTGGTGCCGCAGGCTGGCCCCGTTCCTCTTCCCAAAGAACCGGGCTCGACAGGGCCCGGAACAGAAGAGGTCGCTCTCGGACCCACGGGCACAGTACAGGATCTTCTCCCCCAGCGGGCCACGCGCGCTTTCTTTGAGCACGCTCATCTCCTGGCCAGGGAGGGGCGCCAAAGGCGCCAAGCATTCCATGCAGAGTCGGGTTGGGGGCGAGGTTGTTGCAACGCCCGTCAGTCTGCCGGTGCCGACCGGCTGTAAGAAGCTCAAAGTTCTGCCGCCCAGTCGACCGTGACGGTACTCCACGCTGACGTCACAGCGCGGCAAGCACTCGGCGCCAGCCTGCAAGACTGATGCTTATAAGCGCCTTATAAGACTTATATATATGCCTGCCCCAACTTTCATCCGAGTGCCGCCTCATCCGCATCCGTTGAGGAGTGCCGGCGCAGGATGAACCGGGACCGGGATCCCGCCAACGCGTGCGCAGGCTTGAAGTTCTCAGGGCTCAGCGCCTGGCAGGCTTCCCCTCATCCGGCTTTCAATCTCACCCTGCGGGGCGGGGGGGGGGGTAGGTCTGAACGGCTTTCTGGTGCGCTTAGCCCCTTACAAGCTGGGCCCATGCTTGCAAGGCCTCGGGACGATGCGCCGCACCTCGGGCCAAGCGCTGCTGCAAGGGGGTGAGGCCCCTCCACGCAGCCTGGAAGTCCTGTGAGGGTCTCAATGTTTCGGGGGAGCCCCGGTTGGGAGAGTGGGCGGTTCTCAAGAAAATGCAACAAAAAAGCAGCAAAAATCAAAATACAAAAAAAAGATTGACGAAGGATCTTATACTTCTTCAAGAGGGGCTAGCCAGGGCTATATCGGGGCCAAACACGCGGCCGCGCACACCCGGAGCACGGAAAGGAACGGGGGGCCTTCGCCTGCTTGACCAGAGTCCGGAGCTCAGACAAAGACAGGCGCCCATGGTGAACGACATCGGCCTCGCCGTCATCCTCGCGCAGGCTCAGGCCCAATGGCTGTTGATTCCGAAAGGGGTGCAGCCGCGACGTGTGCGGTGACACCTCGAAGGAGAACTCCATGGGCGCCAGAGTCTCAGCGGGGGCCGCTGCCGAACGCATCTGAGCCATCGGTGAAGTGCCCTCAGTGCCCTCAGCATGCGTCATGGCCTCGGGATGCCAAGGCTCAGCAAACATGCTGTGGGGCTTGAGCACCCGATTAAGAAAAAGAGAGTCTATAGATACGTTCTTTGAAAATGGCTTTCGAAGGAAGGAAGCTGTGCTGAACTCAACACAGGGCACTGGGCCATCGTGCAGCGCCGCCACCTCGCGCACCCGAGTTGTCAAGGCAGCCCAGCGCTCCCGATCTGCCTGACAAGGGCGGTGGTTTGCGCTGGCTTCCCTAAGATTGCCGTACCGTTTCACGTACCTGTGAATTCAGACTCAAAGTGGCTTTCAACCCACGACCCACGCCTGCCAGCGTTGTCGCATGCTAGGAGGCTTTCAGGAGCAGAAAACACACCCTACAGAAGTCGCTCCAACTACTTTGGGAATGCAGCTTAAACTGCAAGAATGACACAGAAGAGAGATACCCCATTCGTGACGAGGGTTGTCGGCACTGCTTTGGTCTTTTGTTTGACGTTACTAACCCCCACCCCCAGCCGAACAACACCAAAGGTGCAGAAAACACTACGGCGCTACGGCAATCCATGGCCCCTGCGGGACCTGTTTTTGTATGAGCATGTAGTTGTTCACTCATGCTCATTCTCATGCATGCTAGCGAGCGGGCCTCGCAGCACTGCGCCACCTCGGCCGGGCTCCAGGGGAACTTGGCCTTGGGGCGCTTCCGCTTCCGTGGGGCCGCGGCGGCCTCCGCGGGAGCCTCCGAAGCCTCCGGGGCCTCCGCCGCTGCCTGGGCGGCCGCTGCCTGGAGCAGCAGCACATCCACGGCTTGGCGCTGGCCGCGGCGGTGCAGCCGGTCCTCTGCCTGCTGCAGCCAGGAGGCATCCGGCGGGAGCTCGGCGAAGATGCACACGGAGGCCGCGGACAAGTCCACGCCGACGGCGCAGGCGGTGATCCCGATCACAGCCAGGACCGGCGCAGCCGTTGAAGTCGCTGAAGTCGCTGAAGTCGCTGAGGTCGCTGAGGTCGTTGAGGTCGTTGAGGTCGCTGAACTGCGCGAAGCGGGCCGCTGGAACTGGGCGACCAGTGCTTGCCGGGTCATGGGCGGTGTGGAGCCGTCGATCCGCACGTAGCTCAGCCCCTCAGCGAGCCGGCACACGCGGTCCAGCACGCGGATGTGATGCCCAAAGATCACTGCTTGCTGACCTGTCTGCACGCACTGCTCCAGCTTCTCCCGGATCCAAGACTCGGCGGCTACCAGCTTTAGCAGCCCACAGCGCTCGTAATCCGTTTGCGCCGCCGCCTCCTTGTCGGAGAGCTGGCCACTCTGCTCGCTAGAGAGGTTCAGTCGGATGAAACGCCTCGTTTTCGGAGGCAGCTCTTCCAAAACCTCACACTTGCGCCGACGGACCATGACGGCCTCGCGCAGAAGAAGCCCCAGTTGCCAGCTCCGGCGGCAGCGGCCTGGTGCCAAGAACCCCGCCGTCGAGAGGGACGGCTCATCGTAGTCTCGGGCAAAGCTGTGCCAGTCCCCAAACACGCCCGGGAGCAGCAAGTCCGCTTGGGTAAAGATGTCCAGGTAGCTTGAGCGCGAGGGCGTGCCTGACAACAGCAACACCCGTGGGATGGGCTTCAGCAACTCCAGCACCGCCTTGGTGGCCTGATTGGGCCGACCACTCACGATGCGCAGGCTGTGGGACTCATCGACGATGGCGGCCTTCCAGTCCCTGGCCTTCAGGTTTTGAAAGAGGAGTCGGGCCATGGAGTATGACACAAGGCAGATACGAACGTCTCCGAGGCTGTTCTCTTCCGTATGTGGGAGCATGTCATTCGAGCTGTAGATGATGTGGATGTGTCGCGGCTGCAGCATGCCAGGGAGCCACTTCTCGATCTCTTCAGCCCAGGTTAGCCGCATACATGCGGGACAGATCACCAAAGCCGGCCAGGCATTGTAAGCTGCAAGCAGGGCCAGCGCCTGCGGGGACTTTCCGCACCCCATCTCATCTGCAATCAGGCATCGCCCGCCAAGTTCCAGGGCCCGTCGCACACCCTCCCACTGAAATCGCCGCAGCGCTTCCAGATGCGGGGCTCTGACCAGGGCCTTCTTACACATCTCGGCCGCGTCAGCTGCGGCCAGCACAGACAGCGCCTCCTCTTCCAGCTCATGGTCCAGAGCAGTCCCAGAAGCCTCCGTCGCCTCAGGCACAGCAGGCAGTGCAGGAAGGGCTGAAGCCACCGTGAAGATCTCCACCTCCCACAAGTAACGGCCTCCGACTCTCCGTCTGCGGAGGGCTTCCATCAGCTCAGAGCGGCTTGAGATCGCCCAGAGATCGTCCGTGGCATCGAGGAGGCTCCTGGCCTGTTTGCTCACCGTCTGCTTGGATCGTCGCCGAGATCTTTCCGACAGCCGCTGCACCAGCCCGGAGGTTGCATCCGGCAACTCATCGATCCTCATCCCAGGCAACATAAAATATGTCACGTCGACGAAACTGCCCCCCCCCCCTCCCCCCCCCCGTGCCGTGCACGGTTATTTAACAAAAGACCTCCCGCGCACCCAGTCCTGACCCTTCCGAGGTCTGAGGTCACCGCCGTGGCGCGCTGGACGACGTCTTTCAAGCGCTGGAGGGCGGCCGAGGCTTCCGCAAGCGGCAGCGTGAATCCCAGCCTCTCCTGCCTCTCCTCGCTCTCCACGCAGCCGTCCGCAAACACGAAGACGGCCGGGTCCGACCAGTCTCGGCGCGGAGCGCTGGCAGCGTCTAGCCTGGGCTTCGCTTCGGAACTCTTTCATCTGCCCTTACTACTGCACTCTCCACGATAAAGACACATGCCTACAGATATTGTACATAAACCCTAAACCCTAAACCATAAACCGCCTAAACTTGAAGAATGAGCTTAAGCCCTTTCTGGAATCACAAAGGAGAGGAGCCCAGCCTCGGCCGCCCAGGCCCTCAGGGCGGCACAGTCCCGGGCACCGCGCGCGTGTACGCGAACGCTGGGGCCCTCAGTGCATTCCTGGGACTCGATAGTTACCTCTGCAGTTTAGTAAAGTTCCAAGAAAAGCTGGAGGTAAAGTTGAGGTAAAGAGGGTCCCAGGCACAGGGTCCAGAAGGTCCTCGAGCTCAACGATTAACGTTGTCACGGGCCCCTCATCCAGTCGACGGACCGCCTTCTCCAAGGTCTCTGGCTTCTTGCAGCGCGTGCAGAAGAGGAAGAGCCCGAACCTTCCGTTCCGGTACCGGAACGCGCCAGTGCAGCCACACCGCAAGCAGCCGTCCTGGCAGCGAAATAGCCGTGGCATCGCATGCATCTCACTGACATCATGCAATGATGAACGAGCGGGGTCGGCTACTTACCTAATCTTGCCGACGTGCTCTTTTCCTGTCCTCCACCGCCCAAAGCAACTTGCGGAAATCTGCCTCGCTGATGTTGGTCCCGCCACTTCTGGCCATCCGTCGCTTCTTGCGGAGGGAGGACTTTGAACCCTTGGTCTTCTTGGGATGCTTGGGTGTAGCGGGGCCACGACCATCCCTCGCATAACTCTGTCGCTTTGCCAACACCTCCGCTTGGGTCAGCGCCTGGCGTCCTGCCAAGCGCTTGGCTAACTCTGTCTTGGTTCCGGAGATGGGCAGGCCGCTCTCTCGGCAGGCCTGCAACTCACTTTTGGGGACTCCAACCCTAAACCCTAAACCCTAAACCCTAAACCCTAAACCCTATGTTGGCCCCCTGGGGTCGCACCCTTGGGTTTCGGGGGGGCCCTTTTTGAACGAGTCCCTTCGAATACATACAGGGGGCCGGATTATAGGAGCATCTTAAAATGGGAAACTGTTCGGGATACGACCTTAGAATTTTTTGAATGTGTTGAAAGTATACTATGCCGAGAGCCACGTTCTCATACGTCCGACATTACCCAGAGGTTCTTCTCGCAGCTTTAATTGAGCCTCGGACAGGCCCTGAGGGGACACGTGGGCACTGGCCTACCCGGTATAGGATGTTGAGTTGTATGCCTTCATGTGCCGATCAAAGCTGTCACGGTTACAGCTGCCCTTGAAATCTGCACCATCACTGGGGCGCTGGGATTTGCAAGTGTCTGGAGTGGGGGCCAAGTGACCAGCAAACATTCCCAGCTGATGCTCACAATGCTCGCCTTTCGCCTCGTCAAATCTGCACAATCCCTGGGGTGCGTTGGGTTTGCGTTTGGAGCTCAGAAGGACTAGCCGGCTGACTCATGATGCTTGCCTCCCGCCTCCTCAAATCTGCACAATCACTGGGGTGGTGCGCTTTGCAAGCGTCTAGAGCTTAGGGGGCCATGTCAAAGGCAAAAATACCCCCGGGACTCAGCATGGCATTGAAGGCCTTGCAAAACAAACCGCTTCCAACAGTAGTTGGACACTCTCTACATGACAGCTCGTTTCTGCACCATGAAGGGCTGCGCGGCGATCATGATCCCCCCGGCAGAGGCGCAAGAATCTCCTGCATGCTGTTGGTGTCGGATTCCGACAGCAGCCGCACAATCTCAACGTGGTCGTTGCGAGATGCAAGTTTAAGGGATCTTTCGATAACCCGCCGCTCGTTGGCGCCGGCGCCGGCTTTTAGCAGCAGCCACACAGTCTCAACGTGGCCGTGCTCAGATGCAAGATGAAGGGCTGTCGCGCCACTCAATAAATGCAAGGCAGTATCGGCGCGGGCTCCCAACAGCAGCCGCACAGTCTCAACATGGCCACGCTTAGATGCAAGATGAAGGGCTGTGGGGCCGAAACGTGTCTTCCGCAAGTCCGTGTTGGCGCCGGCTTCCGACAGCAGCCGCACAATCTCAACGTGGCCATGCTGAGCTGCGCGCTGGAGGGCTGTCAAGCCGTCAACCTCCTTATCATCAGTCTGCAAGTCAATGTCGGCGCCGGCTTCTAACAGCTGTCGCACAATCTCAACGTGGCCGTGCTCAGATGCAAGATGAAGGGCTGTCTCGTCGACCTCATTCTGCAAGTCCGGCTCGGCTTTGCACTCCAACAGCAGTCGCACGATCTCAACGTGGCCTTTGACAGATGCAAAATGAAGGGCTGTATTCTCGAAGATACGCTGCTGCAAGTCTATCTCGGCGTCGGCTTCCAACAGCAGTCGCACGATCTCAATGTGCCCGTTTTCAGATGCTTCAAGCAAGGCCGGGCTTGTGCCACCGTCGTATAGTGAGTTTGGGTTCGCGCCAGCTTCCAAAAAGAATTGCAGCGCCACGAGGTCACCTCCTCCGGCGGCTTCGACAAAGGCCTCTGCGTATCGGGCAACGTAAGCACGAGCTGCACCTCCATCGGCGCCCGTAAGCTGTCGGTGTCCTCCAGAACTTGGCCGTCATGCTACAGCCTTTGAAGGCATACTGGGATATGATGCTTTTTGCACAACTGGTGCTTCAAGTCTCCGCAATCACGACCGACAAGCCCCTCCGCCGGTACAGCGAGGAGGTCCCGGCCAGAAGCCCAGAACACACGCAACATGGCCAATGAGTTGCCCTAGACCTCAAACATCAAACCCTGGCTCCGAAACCCCAAAGAGGCAACCACCCTGAGTTCTGCAAGGGGAAGGAGGTTGGCTTCGGGTCGTATCTTCTGGCACTCACCTTACATCACTGTCTGGTGTAGAGCATAACCTCTCTACTTCCACATGAGCCAGGGGCTCTTGCTCTTGGAGGGTTGCTTGTGGCCCTTACCCCATCAAAGCAAGCATGTCCAGCGACTCTTCCAAATGCAAAAGAGGGCAGGGTCTACTACACGAGGGTCTCGGGATAGTTAGGGTACAACGACAATATTGTTGACGATCTATACCTTCATAAATTTGTATAGTGAAATCTACTCGACTGTTGAATGCGAGAAGATAATGCAGCAGAGGTTTGGGCGCAGCTTGCAGACACAACACCATCCGTGGAGCGAGGAGCAGAAGTCTCGCTGCCATGCAAGGGGATTGTCTTGCAGGGATTTCCACGAGAACCCGAGATAGTTTTCTGGATTTAGGGCGGCGCAGACCGAGAAATCCGGCAGGCTTGAAGTTTCGTGTCTTGAGACGTGAAAAACTGCTTTAACCCTGGCCCTAAATGCAATGATTTCTACAAACGTTCATCTTAGTGTGACCGGCAACAATACCCAGCTGATGCTCCTGATGCTGCTCTCGACTCGTCAAATCTGTACAATGACTGCTTCGCAAGCGTCTGGATCATCCCCCTCGTCAAATATGCAGGGTCAATGGCAGTGCGTTTTGCCAGGGTCTGCAGCTTAGGGGGCCATGTGAGCGGCAAAGACCCAGCTGATGCTGATGATGCTCGCCTCCCGATCTGCAATCATTGGGGCGGTGCGTTTTGCAAGCGTCCGGAGCTTATATACGGGGCCACGTGACAGGAAAACATTATCAGCTGACGCTCATGATGCTCGCCTCCTGCCTCGTCAGATCTGCACACTCACTGGGGCGGTGCGTTTTGCAAGCATTGGAGCTCAGGGGACCAGGGGATCCCCAAACATTTGACAATCGCGGAGGTGGTGCGTTTGCAAGCGTCTGGAGCTCAGCGGGCCATGTGACCTGCACGAATACCCAGCTGATGCTCAGGAGTGATCAAGCCAGCAGCAACTCCCGACAGAATCAATGTTCCTTTGGCTTGGGCATCCTCGGTGGTCTAGTTGGCTTGCATACCCCCAAAACCTTAACCCTAAACCCTAAACCCTAAACCCAAAACCCTAAACCCTAAACCCTAAACCCTAAACCCTAAACCCTAAACCCACTACTCACTACTGCAACTGAACCTCAGGACTCAAGCAGGACGAAGAAGGGGTCAAGACAAGCAGCCGCCCTCGGGGCTTCAGGGCCAGGGAGGACCTCTGAAGTGTCAGCTCATAGGAAGGAGCAAAAAACGAAATGAACTAAAGAAAAGAAAGGCAAGAAAGAAAAGAAAGGCAAGAAAGAAAAGAACTAAGAGAAATAAAATAAATAAGAAAATTAAGAAAAGAAAGGAATGAAGGAAAGGAAAGAAACAGAGAAAGAGAGACAGGGAGTGTGTGTGTGTGTGTCAATAAATATATCGCCCATCTCAAATCCCCTCTGCTAATGTACCCTTGGCCTACGAACCCCATTGCATCCAGCAAGCCTGCCTTTAATGCTAGGTCTTTGGAAATACTGCTAGAGGGACACCTTGCATGTTCAGCCTACTTGAACTGTAGAGGCGCACAAGCTTTGGGGGCACCTCCCGCAACTGCACAGCCCGCAGCGCTGAGTAGTCTGCCGCAGCAGCCACCGGCACCTCCACCTCAGGAAGGTCTCACTACCCTTCACAGATCGTGGCATCATGTTGGGCGTCCCTTTTTGGCCCAAACCCTAAACCAAAAACCCTTAAACCCTTAAACCCTTAAACCCTAAACCCTCAACCCTGAACCCTAAACCCTAAACCCTGAACCCTAAACCCTAAACCCTAAACCCTGAACCCTCACTTACGGATTCAGGCCTCTCCCATGAGCTACATGAGCTCCCAAAGCCACGGATCGCCCGCATGGGCTAAGGACGGAGCCTAAGACAGGAACTCCCCGCAGCTCGAAAGAATATGCTCTCAACTGTGGTGTGCTACCAGTGTGATGAAAATTCTATAAAATAGAGAGTACTACATGCAAAAATTGTACTTTGGTGTACTACATGCGACTAGTATTCTATAAAATAGAGTGTACGCCATGCTGGTCATATGCCAAGCTATTCGTGCACGAAAGAGCATGGCAGCATGACCCAAGTCCTGTTCCTGGGAGCCCATGTCCGAGAGAGTTTGAGGATGCCGAGCTGGTAAGGAAGGCTTCGAGCTTAACGAAAATAAGGGACCCCTAAAAATACTCCCACATAGTAGGGTTCCTTTATAATCAGGACCCCAATAAGGTACCGGGTACCATGTTGAAGCTCGCCGTCCTTCATAGGGATTCTAGCAGCCCCCCTATTCTTATCCTTACTCAGGACTGCAAAGCAGTTGAGAAGCATCCCTGCTGGATCGGATGCTTGCCAGAGGTACGACCTCGGACTTTTTGTTGCCGTGCATGCGCGCTGTCACACGATGTCATAAGGCTAGCGACCCGCCCGTCTTTTTTGTTGCGGCAGCTGCGATGCCAGTGATGAACTATGTAGCCTATGTCTGCCAGGTTCCATGAAGGCCTCAAGTGCGGAGGCGGTGCACACAGTGAGCACGAGTGCTTGTTGCCCGTTGCGGCGGATGATTTGCAAGAGCCGGACAAACCGCATGACGTGAAAGCGTGCAGCTGCTCTTCATCTGGCCATCAACACCACGACAAGCAGAAAGTCTCCAGCTGCGTCCGCACGTCATAGGGTCATAGGGGGAAACAAGGCTCTGCAGGTGATGAGGCATGATGTGGCTGAGCGCTGCATCGGCAAGCATCTAGATGTTGAAGGAGACTGTCGAAAAACCTTCTCACACCCGAAGAGCAGACGTGCGCTCATGGGTCCACCACAGCGAGGGAAGAGTGTTGCCATGGCCGTCACGACGCCCAGAACTTCTGGTAGGTTCGAACCTTAATGGACGGAGCCTGCAGGGGGTCCCAAAGGCGCTGCGCGCCGAGCGCATCGCAAGCATTGCGTTTCTTGTGATGAAGAACATAACCGGTGACCCTTAGGTTCAAAAGCGTGACCAAATGCGGGTCTGTGACAACAACCTGGGCCGGGTTAGAACCTGGTGGGCACAACATGGGCCGGCCCCCGGACTACCAACGGCCCAGCACGCGAACCAAACTTGGGAAGCACGAAGACCAGGACTCACCCGGCCCACCTGCGCATGGTTGAAAGGCATGGAAAAGTCTACAGGGCCCAGTATGGCCCAGTCCAAGGGCAGGAACTCCAGCTTTGGCTGCTCGGGCCTTTTTGAAATCTCGGCCGACCCTCTCAGAGCCGGAGCAGTAACCAAGGCGCAATTGAAAGATACGGAAAGCCGATAGGACGGGAGCACCTTGACAACCAAAGAGGTCGGCGACGGTGGCGTTCACAAGCGTCAGGCGTCGAGGAATGGGAACGGGAAACAAATTCGGGACGCGTGTTGAACTCCTCCCGCGTTCTCCGGGTCACCAGAAAGCTCCACTTCAGCAACGCAGGTCACATCGTTGCTCGAGACATCGAAACAGGACACACAGATAGAAGAGTCCACATCCGTGCAAGCTAGTTTATTCCATTCAAGCGAGCGACGCATGTCGCATGCCGGGACATGCCTGCGAAGTTCGGTCTGCAGCGGAGGCTCAGAATGTGAAGACACCCCAAGACAAGGAAACGACGCAAGGATGCACGCCGACGGAGTCGACAAGCAAAGCAACCTTGCACTTGTAGCCAGCAGCATAGGGGTTCAACTCAAACCGTGAGCTCATGCCCTGCAGGCCGTCAAATCGGGGCGTCGGACTGAGATCGCACCGCACACGTGCAGTTTAAGCAGCTGCGAGTCTGCGAGTTGACAAAAGGCAACACCAGCACCAGGCTTGAGTCTCAAGCGCAACGTGGTGAGCAGGTGAGAAGACGGGGACGGATCAGGGGTAAGCCCACATTCAAGCATCGCTCGTTCGGAGCACCTGACGGGCTTGCAGTGGGTGATGACCCGCCTTGTCATCCTGAATGGAGCCGCACGTCTGCTGAAACCTCTATAAAAGCTGGATTCTCTAACTCGACACTGGCTTTGGCCCTGGAAAGTGTAAGGCTTAGGGTTTACTGTAAGCGGTTTAGGACATAGGGTTCTAATGGGTTTAGGAAATCTTGGATTTGCTTGAAGCCTCCTTCGTCTTTTTAGCTCCTGCGAAAAAACGGGTGATATCGCCAGAATTCGAGGCAATCTGGCGGGCCCATGCAACTTCCCAAAATTGGAAGGCTTTTGCTATCTGACATTCTGGTGATGATAGACTGGCAGACACCTTTGGGTAGACTGAAACAAACAGAATTCGCGGCGAAGTCTCAGCTGCAACATGAAGTACGTCTGCGATGCCAACTTGCAGGGAGGCAACGCATTTAAACATGGCAGAAGCAGCATCCAAACGGTCATACGCAGGTCATATGGAACAGATCGTCTCACCACAGGGGACGAAGCTGCCAGATTTGAGGAGCTGGAGGCCCCGCGAAGGCATCCGAGTCTTCTGGGGAGCCCAGAAAGGACACCTTGGGGGAATATTTTTGGAAGAACTTGTAGCCGCTATTATAGCTTGACGAAGCTGATGGCACTTGGAGGCATGAGGCAATCGTAGCACCCGCATGTGGACTTTCACATGAAACCGCCCTCATGCTTGGCGGCGCCGGTCGTCAGCACGCACCCCAGGAGCCGTGGTGTGGACCAGCCACTGCTGCGGCACTACTTGGCCTTCCACGGCCTCTCGCGCAACGCGGACACACGCTCGTTCGAGAGTCTTAGCTCGCGCGAGAAGTCCGGTGCGCGGGCAAGCGGGAGCGTGATCACCGAACTGGTCAACTTGTCCCCCACATCCGTGTGTCGGTCCGCATCATCGGCCGTGGCTGATGGGGAAAGGCACGCGCAAGCGGCGACGCAGCGCGAGCTGCATGGCTTGTGGCGCGAGCGTGGTGGCCGGCTCTGCTGGTATGGCGGTGAGCCATGACCCAGCTTGAGGTCCCGACTGCGAGCGCACCAGGGCCCGGGCGCTTGGCATTGGCTGGCTGTAGCACGCTGTCGCGAAAGTGTTGGTTCCGTGTGGGCGATGCGTAAAACTACCAACCATGCGGCCAGTCTCCGGGGCCGGCGTGCTGTGGCGGGGCAGCGGCGCGCAGGTTAGGGGCGTCGCCTCCACCTCTTTCAAGCGCTGCTCGGTAGCTTTCGGCGAAAGCGGGGAGTCGAGCATGGACGACTGGCAAAGCATCCGCCAGACCCGCCCAGTACGCTGCTGGGCTCGCGCGCTCCGCCGATTGCAGCCCCAGGCCACCCAAATGCGCCGGCAGCGTCGCGAGTTCCTTCGCATGCGGCGCTTCTGCCTCGGCGGCGCCCCCCAGGCACTGCTTGAGGGTGCGCCACACGGCCTGGTCGTGGGCTCGTGCATAAGCCCGGATTTCAAATGGGGGAACCGTGCGCAAAGCTTGATGCTTGGTTTGCGCGGGGGGACGCGCGCAGCAGCAGGGACACTGTCAAAAGGCGGAGGAAGCGGGCGGCTTCAGCTCCAAAGCGGCCACAAACCTCGACCCCGACGACCACCAAGCGGCAGCGCCGGGCGCGGCGTCGACGGCCTGGCCGGGGGCGAACATCAGCGCCCGGCCGCGCCTCCCCCGTGCAGGTGACGGGGCTGACGATGGTGGCGTCAACGGCGAGCTGCGCTCCGTTCCACAACAAAGAACCGTTGCGCGTTGGCCAGCATCCGACCCCGTCATCTTGCTCCGCATACCTTCTTTCAGGGGGATTCGCCTGTACTGCTTGATGAAGCGCTAGCCGGAACCGTCCCCCAGCAGCCCCGCCAGCCCAATGATGATGCGCGTGCTGACCGTGCTGTTCATCTCGCGCACCTCGGCGAGCTCAGCTGCCCGCCAGGCATTACTCGCCGAGCCCCTCGCTGCAGGGCCGAACCTTGGCTCAGCATTTCGCGGCCGTTTTTGATTCGGCCACGCGGCCCTCTCAGTATGCACTGGCTACACGCGCTGCAACGGAGGCCTCGCACACAGTCTGCAGTTAAAGTGCGAGCTCGGCCCGGAACTGATGGTGCTGTCAGTCGACGGCATCGGGGCCTACGAGCTCTCCAATTGGCAGGCTGCCATAGTCTGACTTCCCGTGGCATAGGTGAAGGAAAACGGAAAGGACACACCAGCCACTACGTCTGAGCGCGGCGCAAGACTTAAGGCCAACCCACGAAGCAAGCACAACTTGGCAGCCGACTGGACAATGGAGAAGGTACAAAAGCAAGGGTTGGGCGAGAACACTTGCCCATACTTGCCCGCCGGCGCGCACATCACAGAGCGTGCTACAGCCGCTCAAAACAGCCCTGCAGGAGCATAACATGGCTAAAGGCCACGTGTGGTGTCTGCCCCGTGCGGCCCATTGACCGGGAGAGAACTCGGTAGCCAACTCGGAAAGCATCGGGGTCTTCCAACCAGCACTTCTCATCCAGCCCTCCTGCCGTCGAGCAGCGTCGCCTCATGGGCCGTGAAGGCGGCGAGCGCGGCCATGGGGTCCAGCTGCGCATCAAGGCACGGCCCACGCTTCCCGCACCCCACGGTGCCCGTGCCGCGCCACGCGCCGGTAGGCTGCAGCATCACTTGTTCGACCAAGCGCACATCCGCCTCAACCCGTCCAAGACTCGTGTTTGGAATGCGGCCGGCTCTTTCCCCGAGGGCCTTCTAGCGCCCGATGGTGCGCAGATCTGGGTTGGTGATGCACGCACAGAACGCGGCCTCCGCGTGCTCGGCACCCCACTCTGCACGCCCGAGTGCGTAGCCGCGCAACTTGACACCTTGTCCACACAGCACGGCCGCTTGTTTGTGAGGCTCCCTGATGTCCCTGACCTTCAGGTTGCCTGGCTGCTGCTGTATTGCGCCGTGCCTCGGGCGCAATACGTGCTCAGGGTCTTGCCCCCAAGCAGGACAAGCAATTTCGCTTCTGCGACCGGTCTGTCCTCAGATGCTTTGCCACACTCCTTCGTGTTGAGTCCCAGGGCCGCCTACGTCGCCCGCTGGTGCGCCCTCCTCTCCTCTGCACAGCACTTGCCGCGACCCTTCTCTCGCTGCCCCTGCGCGCCTTAGCCACCCCCGCAAGAGGTCGTCACAGTCGCCATCTCCCGGACGGGCGAGAAGGAGTCCCACGGCGGCACCTGGAAGCCGCGTCCGTGCAGGAGCGTTGCTGCAGTGCGGGCGGATACAAGCGAAGGCGGCTCGCTACCACCATGCGCTTCAAAGCCTTGCACGAGGCGCTCCGCGACGTCCGGAGCACGGGCGCGGATCGCGACCAACCGCCTGAAGACATCGCCAACGACCAGTTCACGCACCCGTCCGTTCAATTTGCGTAAATCCGGCCCAGGCGGACTGCCTCAAGGACCGGGGCGGGGATGCTTGCATTGGCCAGGCATACTAGTAACATGTAGTAACCATCAGCAACAGCATTGCAACAACCAGCTACTTCACAACTTCGGGCTCCGGGCCATCAAGATCAAGGCCTGCCCTCGCAACGCGCAAACGGGTAACACGCCAACGCTCGCTCAACTGCATACACGTCAAAAACTCATGCCTGAAAGCTCAGGCGCCGTGGTGCAAGCCACACCCGACCCTCCGGGCCAACAGCCAGCAGGGCTGTGCGTGGGCAGTCGAGGTATAGCGGTCCCCGAATGCGTCGACCTCAGCCCCAACCAACCCTTGGCGGCCACAGCCCATGATGGGCAGAGGCATGAAGTCGGGCGTGAGGGTGGACGCTGCAGCCGTAAGAATCGCTGCCAGCCAAATACCGGCATGCGGTGGCAGGGCGCGAGCCGGCGGAGTCAAGGCTAAAGGCAGTCGCGTTCTCGAAAAAACATAGCTCGCTCGCCATTCGAGATGCGAGCACACCGGAGGTCGCACATGCAGCCCTGTGGTCGCCGAGTGGGCCGAAGTGATTTCATCAGGCGCACATGCGCAGTGCGACTGGCAACGGCTAGCAAAGCCGTCGTAGCAGCAAAACGCAGCTGAAGTAGGGAAAACTGTGTGGAGGAGCGCGCAGCCGGGATGCGGCATCAGTGTATCAAAGATGCAATGCAGCAAGCAAGCGCGCTCTTTACTGGCGAGGGCAGCACGATGCCGCCAGCCTCGCAGGAATTCCCCAAAAACTCGTGCCTGCACCAAGCGGGAGCGTCGCAGCCCTGTTCGCGGGGGCAGGCGGCCGTGCCTGCGTGGGCAGGGAGTCCTGCGACAGCAGGGTCGCTAGGCATGCGCACACCGCAACATCTTGCTCACGCGCAAAAGCCTCAGTGCTAGGAGCTCGGGGGTTGCAACTCCGGACGCGCCAAGTAGTTTGCACGCGGGGAGGCGCAGAAGAGCAAGAGGAGCCACGCGCACTGCAGGTCCCCAACGGCAGGCGGGGGAGCAGTTGGTCCTGGGTCTCCCGTTTGCGGCGCAGTCCAATCGAGCCAAGCACGCAATCACAGCAGCGTCACAGCAGCGTCATGTCCACGGGCGTGGCGCCGTGCACAGGAGCAGCAACCAGGCGGCCTGCAAGTCAGGCAGTGTCGGGATGCTGGTCAGCAGGGCCGCGGTGGGCGAGTTTGGCAGGCAGGCTGGCCTGCACGAAGGCTTCACTGCCAAGAGGCGTACCGAGCACCACTAGACCTTGGCGATCTGCAGGTTAGGCCATCTCAACCCACACCGGTGGTTCGCATGCGGGCCAGGAGGCTCCTCCCCGGCCGAATTCCAAGCCCGCGTTTTGCCAAGTTTTGCCCACGTGGAAGTCCACGTCCACATGCGTTTTGAGCAGGTCCAAGGCCGGCACCGTGCGGGTTTGGTGTGGATACCACATATGTGTCATCCAGGAACGCAAAGAGTACCTCACCCGGCTGCAACTGGGAGTGCGCCGCCGGCAAAGCCTTCAGCACACCGACAGCACACAGCCCAGGCATCAGCGGGTCACCTTGCTCACCGCGTTCCGCCTGAATGACGTCGTGCCCCCGGCCAGTCGCATCATAGAACAAGTAGCCATAGATCCCGGCAGAACATGCGGACGAAGGAAAGGAATGAGTGCTCGCAGCCCCCCGTTCCCCCCGCAACCCCTCGAACATGGCTGCGGGAGATGTGGTCGTACGCGCCTATGCTACATCCGGATGGGCCCGTAGCGGCACCTCGTCGCGCTGAGCGTACCTTAGTGCAGAACCGCCCCGAGTCCATCGCCAGGTGGACCGTTTTCCAAGAAATGTCCAAAACCCCGAACCCGAAGCTAGTCCCAAGTCTTAAAAACTCTTGAATCCTCCTTCCCCCCCGCCCCACCCAAGCCTTAAACTCCAAGCTCGCAACCCAAACCTGGGTTCAGGCGGCGGCCGACTCGACTTCGACGCCTAATCACAGCATAATTGCCTCACTCCATCGCCCACCCCCAGATGCCCCATGCCACCTGCCAAAGATATCGGAAGTTGGGTTCCTCTTCTTTTGCCTTTCGTGCTTCTACACCCGCTGTACTGTACAAGGGTGAATCATGGTGAATCTGAGCATGCTCTGCGACGTTGCTGAGCCCTTCTGACTCAACAGAGGCTAGCACTGCGACTATACAAGTTGCCGGTCTCGCAAAAGTGTCACGCATGCCACACCGGTGATTGCATCAAGTCATTGTGCGAAGGCTTTGCGCGAGAGCGCAAGGAGTCCTTCGGACTCAACAAAATTGAAGGCCGAGCATCGTCTCTCTACAAGTTGCCCAGCTCGCAAAAACATGTAGCATGCCACATCCGAGAAAGATTCCGCTTTTCCTGGCTTAACTTCACTTCGCCATCGGCAGCCTCGCTTTGCCCTGCAAGAGCGTGGGAGCGGGATGAGCAGGCCCCGTCTCGAGGTCATCCAGGGCGGATGCAGGCGCACCCTCGTAGACAACACCAGGCTCCAGGTTGCTGCCCTTCCAGCTGAGACTCCCTGGACGCAACACCGCGCCCTCTCCGGCATGGCACATTGCCACACTGGCACCTGACATGATGGTCACCCGATGCCCCACCGAGTAGTGGGTGAATTTCAGGCGGAAGTCCTCGAAAGAATGGCATCTCACCTGTCCATCATAGTCCACTGTGACGTCATCGCCGATGTCCGTGAAGGGAGCGTCCACCAGCACCATCTCGTTCATGCAGAAGAACCGCTTGCCCACACGCGCTCCAAGCAATCGCAGAACAGGAGCTTGCCAGCGGGTGCCGGCTGTCTGGAATGGCAGCTTGAAGACCCGCTGCTGGGCGGTGAGTGCCGTGAACCAACGCGTCACCGTGGTGGAGTAGTAGGCGTTGCTGTGGGGGGTGGATCCGTTGAAGAGCAGGTTGCCCAGCACCACGGAGAAAAGGTACCAGGAGACCAACGCGAAGGCCACGTACACGAGGACCAGGGCAAGAACTTCCCAAGCTGCGGTGATCATGGGGCACAGGAGGCGGCTCGTCAGCATGGCGGAAGCCGTGACAGCGCCCTGCACGCCGCGGTACAGGAAGACATCCAAGATGCTGGTGCTGAAATGGTGCCAGAAACGCGCCAGGCAGCTCGCCGCTTCGGGGCCCTGGTTCACTTTGCCTGCCGGGGTTGGGAGACTGGCTACTGGCTATTACTGGCTGCTGGCTACAACTGCTGCAGCTGCCTACATTATGTTACACTGAGACAACAGTAAGACAGCATCAAGTCCTGCAGCGTTGCTTAGCCGACGGAACTTCATGGCAGGGTTGCCGAAGTAGCCTTGGAACGGGCCACACAGAACGTACTGTTGAAGCATCGCTCCGTGAAAGGCTCTTGGCCGGAAACAATTTCAGGGCAAGCTGCTCATGTTGGGTTCAGTCGGCCTCTTCGGCAGCCAGGTGCCCACTCCACAGAAGCTGCCCTCCGGCAGGCCCTCGGGCAGGTGGTTGTGGTTTCCCAAGAAGGTGTGATCGCCTTGGGCCCGCTCCAGACTCTAGGCTGAGAGGCCCGCTAATTAGATGAGTGCGACAATGACCTAAGACCCCTGAACTCTACACCCACATGTTGCAGGAAGGAGAAAGGGAGAAAGGGAGAGGGAGAGAGAGCGAGCGAGCGCGCGAGCGAGCGAGAGAGCGCGAGCGCGAGCGCGAGCAGAGAGAGCGAGAGAGCGAGAGAGCGAGAGAGTGAGAGAGCGAGAGAGCGAGAGAGCGAGAGAGCGAGAGAGCGAGAGAGCGAGAGAGCGAGAGAGCGAGAGAGCGAGAGAGCGAGAGAGCGAGAGAGCGCGAGAGCGAGAGAGCGAGAGAGCGAGAGAGCGAGAGAGCGAGAGAGCGAGAGAGCGAGAGAGCGAGAGAGCGAGAGAGCGAGAGAGCGAGAGAGCGAGAGAGCGAGGTACGTCCTAAAACGTCACCCTGTTTATGCCTAAACCCTCAAGGTAGCCCGCCAAACCACCGAGTGCGGACAGAAACTGGGTCGCGGCCACCGCCGGAATTGATATGGGTTGTTCGGGCAGCGCTCTGGGTTTTCGGGTTGGGGTTGAGGGATCAACCCCAAACCCTGGCCCCTTCGTGCAAACGCAGAAACTTTGAAACGGCCGAGTGGCTCATGTAGGTGATGCAAGGCACGTTGAACTTCCCCTGGTCGACATCCACGCTGGTCAAGATGTTGCCGGTGGCGAAGAAGCAGCCTTTGCCCACCACCAGCGTCTCCGGAAGGGTCACCTGGCAGGGACAACGGAAGGGCGCGGGCCAAGCCTTTTTCTGCGGTGCTGCAGCAGTCTATATGCTCGCGGCCTGCAAGCCCATAGCGCATCCGTGTCCGAAGGTGGCACCGCACATCCGGATGAAGGCAGGGACAATGGAAGCATCTGCTAGCATCTCTGACGCCTGCAGCACCATGGACATCTTCAAGGCGGCGATCTGCGCCCTGATGCTCAGCAAGGAAGAGGTGAAGGGCGGCTTCACTTTGGGCAGAACCCGGCAGAGGACGGCGGTTCCGCCGAGTTGGAGCACCTAAGACGCAAGAGATGCCACGCCAGTAAGCCCAACCGCATGCGAGGTGCAAGGGCCAACACAATGGGACAAGAAAGGTGAACAAACCCCAGCTCAAGAACAGCATATGCCTGGGTGCCGCACCGTGTTCAACATGGAAGCCCCGAACGCGATGAGCGGAATCCATTTTAGCCGATCCATCATCTCTGTGGGCAGCACATCCACATGCTCCGGATACATGGACTCTTCCCTGACTACTTCCTGATGATTCCAAGGATACGAGCTGAGCAGCTGGAACGCCAAGACGCCAATGAGCGGCATCAGCGCTTTGGGAAGGAGCAACATCCAGTAGGCTGTGGCAAAGAAGGCCGCGCGAGTTCGAAAGCTTCGGACTTCTGCAGGGTCAGGCAACCTGCTGAGATCTTTGGGCCCCACAACTTGAGCAGGAACGCCACACACACGGCCATCCACCAGCATGCCAGAAGGGACGGCTGACAAAGGCTCCACATAGCCCGCAGCTGCAATCTCACATCCCGGCTCCAAAGTGCAGTTGGGGCCCACATAGGCGCCCGCACCCACCTTCACGGGTTTCAGGACCATGCGCCTGCTGCCATAGTTCACGGCGGTCAGGTGTCGAGGGCCATGGACGGTCGCCAAGTCGCCGACTGAAACGAGGTCATACGCCACCACGCGAGCAGTGACCACTGAGGTCAATCGGACATCTGCGCCGAGGGCCCTCAAAGCCAGGTTGCGCAGAAACAAGAAGGCGATGTTGCTTCCCTGATGCGCATTCTGGCCCACAATGGTGCCCTTCGCCATGTGCTCTACCAGCCAATGACGCAGATAGAACAAGCTGTAGATGTCATGATCACCTGCCTTGTAGCGACCGATCAGAGACCACTTCACAGCCACCAAGATGAACACCCGAACGAACTGCTCCAGCGTCAGCACAGCTATCAGCAAGAGGAAGGTCTGCCAGACGGGCAGCATGAACGACAAAGGCAGCAGAACTCTTTCCGCAAGAAGCAGGCGAGACGCCACAAAGACCGGCTGTCCCAAAATGGCCAGGCCTTGCACCGCAGCACACAGCACGGGCCAGCTGCGATTGCCGAAGCTCTCCGTTCCCTCTGCCTGGCTTTGTCCAAGGATGTAGGGAGCTAAAGATGAAGCCAAAGAGAGCAAGGAAGAAGATCGAAGAGCTTGTGAACGGAGGCTTTCCGCAGTTCCCGCGGGAGCATACTTGGGAAATGCCGGAACTGCCGTGAACCCACCGTCCACTGGCAGCTGCAGGATCTTGCGCTGGCTCGCATGGCTCGCACCACAACGTGGAACTTTGTCATGCTCGCAGATCAGAAGCTCAGCCCGCATCTGCCGCAGCTGTTCAGCATCACAGGCCAGAAGCGTGGCTCCTCGGGCCAAGATGCTCCAAGTGCTGAGGATGTCGCCTGCCGAGCCCGACACTGTGAGGCTGGAGACGCGCCCGCCTTCCACGACTGGGCGCCAAGCGGCGAGCGCTTGCAGCACGGCGCGGTGCGATGCCGGGATTGCGCACTGCACGCCTCCCCTCACTTCCAGGGCAACGCAGCACACGTCGTCACCTTGCATGGCCCTTCTGGCCTTGGGCGGCTGCGACAGCAGGGAACCCACTGCTTTCGCATCGAGCAGACTCATCTGGGAGGAAGCGTCGCAAAGCTTGGCCAGCTGACCCCAGCTGCTGTCATCGGAGCTGGCCAAGACGAAATCCGGCTTCAGCACTTCGATCTGCTCCGCACAATCCGGTCCGAGAAGGCTGAAGACGCACCCTTCACGGAGAACCCCCAACATGGCACCCAGCCTAGTCATGGACTCCAGGCATATTGCCACGACGCTTCCCCTGGACGGCTTGGCTTCATGCAAGAGCCGTTGATAGGCCATCATCTGACGACGCAGCTGCAAGTAGCTCAATGACTCATAGCTCCCCTCGAGGCAGACGGCGTGGGGGTGCTCCTTCACAGCCTCAAGGAAGGAATCCAGCAGGTCCGGTTCCAGGCTCACTTCGTCCTCAGAGTCTGATTCTGCCGACTGCTCAGCAAGAGCAGCCGCCAACGATCGAACCGTGGGGCGGTCAAAGAGCATCTGCAGGTCGATCTTCTGCAGCCTCGGCTTGGACCTCATCTGAGAGATCAGTCGTCCGAAACCTCCGGAGTCGACGCCGAGATCCTCCATGAAATGCGAGTCCCGGCTCCACTCCGCAACGTTCAACTGTGGAGCCAAGCAGGCTGCGATTTCGAGCTCGAGATCTGACACCCCGGTCTTATCGAAGGCCTCCCAGCCATCTTTCTTCACCTCCGCATTCATCTCCTCATCCAGGGGAACCACATTCCGCAAGAGCTTTCCGGAGGCGTTGAACTTCCAGGCGTCGTTCTCTACGATCTTCACCTGGCTCAGAACGTAGCCCCGGCCCAGCGACGCGGCCGTCGCTTTCAGCTCCGCCTCCGAAACATCCCCTGAAGTTCCTGAAGCCAGCAGCACCAAACTCTGGCCGTCCAGAACACGAGCCTCGCAGTTCGGTCGCCACGAATTTCAACAGTCTGACTAAATTCAACAGTTTCACTGGAGTCTTACAGATACAAAAAAAGGCCTCGCAGTGCTTCACCGCCGGCAACTCCACGATCGCCTGCTCCAAGGCTTCCAGCTCGATCCGAATGCCGCGCACCTTCACCTGGAAAAACGCTTTGAAAAAAACACAAGTAAACTAAGCAATCCAAACGGAGAACGCACTCTCTCTCTCTCACACACACACACACACACTCATCATCACTCACCAGGGGGGGTGTCCCTTCTTCAGAAAGCAGGGCCGTCGCCTGCCAATCCACTCGGCCGTGGTAGTGGATTCGCCCAGACTCATCGCGGAGCGCCAGGTCTCCGGTGTTGTAGACACGGCCGATGCCCGGCAACTCCACGAACTTGGCCTTGGTCTTCTCCTCCTCTTCGAGATAGCCTCGGGCCAGACCGATGCCCCCCACGAAGAGCACGCCGCGCTCTCCATCTGCTTTCCGTTCCAGCGTCTCGGGGTCCAGGATGTGGCACGTGTAGGTGGGCAACTCGGCGCCGATGGTGATGATCTCGTCGGGCTTCACGTAAGCGCCCGTACAAACCACCGAGATCTCCGAGGGCCCGTAGCTGTTGAAGAGGCGACGGCCTGGGGCCCAAGTGGACACGACGTCCGCGCCCAGCGCCTCTCCTCCGACGTCCAGGATTCTCAAGTGCGGAAGCCCTGCGGAACTTCTTGAGACGTCGGCTCCGCCCCCAGCCATGGTGCGCAAGTGCGAAGGCACCACGCTCATGCCGGTGATCATCCGGTCCTTCAGCCAGACTTGCATGTCCGGGCCCGACTTCTTGATCATATCCGGGCAAGTGACACTCGTGGCTCCCACCGACATGGTGCCGTAGACTTCGATGATGTGCACATCCCAGGACATGGAAGCAACCTGAGCAAACCGATCATGAGGGCCAAGACCCACATACCTCCCCCAGATGCGCACCACGTTCAAGGCCGACTTGTGTCGGATCATTACAGCCTTGGGCTTTCCCGTGGACCCACTTGTGAAGATCAGGTAAGCCAACCTATCCAAATCGTTTTGGTCATGCTTGGCAGCTGGGAGCATTCCCCGGCTGTCCGCCTTCTTCAAGGCCAAGTCAGCATCGATGACAACGCGGGGGAAGTCGCCCAAAGTCGCTGCAACGTCCGTGAGAGCGAGTCGCTTCAAGACGGCGGCGGAGGAAATCATCACTGGCGGGCGAGAAACTTCCACCCAGCTTCGAAGCTTCTCCACGGGCTCTCCAATGTCGAAGGCGTTGTACGCACACCCCTCCAGCATCACAGCGTGCACGGCTGCGATGCTCTTCACGCCTCGTTCAAGCACGATGGTCACCACATGCTCGTCCGATCTGCGCTGGTGGGCTTCCGGCACCTCGCTGGGCGACGCGCTCGGGAGGTCCAAGGAAGCCAAAGCCTTGCGGAGGACTTTGCGGATCGAGTTCGCCATGCGAGCGACCTGAAGGAGCCAGACCGGAGCAAAACAGATCTACATCATTCTACATTTACATACATGCATGTGGAGCCCAACCTATCGGCTAACTTCAGGAAGAGCCTTCCGAGCACAGGCCCACACATGCTCACTGGTGCCTTCTGCAAACTAGGCATTCGGGCGAGAAGTGCTCTCTAGTTTCCTGCATGACTTGGGACACAAACAACACAGCGCAGCGCGGCCCGAATGCAACTTGGGACAACCATGGACAACCCCGTCGTCGAAGCTTTGGGCTAAGAGGGGAGGGAGGGGGGGGCCTGCGCGAAGGTGTAGCTTTCGCCCTCGACTTCCAGGCAGACACGGTCCGGAGTTGCTTCTGCAGCTGTCAAGAGAAGTTCGGCCAGGTTTGTCTCGATCCCGGGCATGCACTGTTGTCCGCACACATCAACCAGCGACAGCTCTTCGAGAGATGGCACAGCGTCGATCACAGCCATTGCGACTTTACAAGCGAAGCTGTAGATCGAGGTGTTGAGAGGTGCGTGGGGCGGGGAATGCAAAATGCTGGAGCCGAGATGCACAAAGGCCTTTGACTCCAAACGAGGCCTCAAAACCACCGACCCTGGCTGCACTGGTTGGAAGATAGTGGTGCCCATCCACATGCCACCTAGCAAAGATATCCAAAAGGCAGGGATCTGCAGGAAGTTGGGTTCCTCTCCTTTTGCGTTGCTCCTACACCCGCTGACCATGGTGAATCTGAACATGCTTTGCGACGTTGCTGAGTCCTTCTGACTCAACAGAGGCTAGCACTGCGACTATACAAGTTGCCGGTCTCGCAAAAGTGTCACGCATGCCACTCCTGTGATCAATGCGCGAAGGCTTTGCGCGAGAGCGCAAGGAGTCCTTCGGACTCAACAAAATTGAATGCCGAGCATCGTCTCTCTACAAGTTGCCCAGCTCGCAAAAACATGTAGCATGCCACATCCGAGAAAGATTCCGCCTTTCCTGACTGGACTTCACTTCGCCATCGGCAACCTCGCTTTGCCCTGCAAGAGCGTGGGAGCGGGATGAGCAGGCCCCGTCTCGAGGTCATCCAGGGCGGATGCAGGCGCACCCTCGTAGACAACACCAGGCTCCAGGTTGCTGCCCTTCCAGCTGAGACTCCCTGGACGCAACACCGCGCCCTCTCCGGCATGGCACATTGCCACACTGGCACCTGACATGATAGTCACCCGATGCCCCACTGAGTAGTGGGTGAATTTCAGGCGGAAGTCCTCGAAAGAATGGCATCTCACCTGTCCATCATAGTCCACTGTGACGTCATCGCCGATGTCCGTGAAGGGAGCGTCCACCAGCACCATCTCGTTCATGCAGAAGAACCGCTTGCCCACACGCGCTCCAAGCAATCGCAGAACAGGAGCTTGCCAGCGGGTGCCGGCTGTCTGGAATGGCAGCTTGAAGACCCGCTGCTGGGCGGTGAGTGCCGTGAACCAACGCGTCACCGTGGTGGAGTAGTAGGCGTTGCTGTGAGGGGTGGATCCGTTGAAGAGCAGGTTGCCCAGCACCACGGAGAAAAGGTACCAGGAGACCAACGCGAAGGCCACGTACACGAGGACCAGGGCAAGAACTTCCCAAGCTGCGGTGATCATGGGGCACAGGAGGCGGCTCGTCAGCATGGCGGAAGCCGTGACAGCGCCCTGCACGCCGCGGTACAGGAAGACATCCAAGATGCTGGTGCTGAAATGGTGCCAGAAACGCGCCAGGCAGCTCGCCGCTTCGGGGCCCTGGTTCACTTTGCCTGCCAGGCATCCCCAAATATCTCCAACATTTGGCTACTGGCTACAACTGCTGCAGCTGCCTGCATTATGTTACATTGAGCTGAAGAGTAGTAAAGCAGCGTCAAGGCCTGCAGCATTGCTTAGGCGACGGAACTTCATGGCAGGGTTGCCGAAGTAGCCTCGGAACGGGCCACACAGAAGGTACTGTTTGAGCATCGCTCTGTGAGAGGCTTTTGGCCGGAGACCATTTCAGGGCAAGCTGCTCATGTTGGGTTCAGTCGGCCTCTTCGGCAGCCAGGTGCCCACTCCACAGAAGCTGCCCTCCGGCAGGCCCTCGGGCAAGTGGTTGTGGTTTCCCAAGAAGGTGTGATCGCCTTGGGCCCGCTCCAGACGAGAGGCTGAGAGGCCCGCTAGATGAGTGCGACAAACACCCTAGACTGCTGAACTCTACACCTATAAATGTTGCAGGAGGGAGAAAGGGAGAAGGAAAGGGAGAGAGAGAGAGAGACTCTGGCAGACTTGCTGGAGGGTCTCGGGTTGGAGATTTATGGAGCTATTGTAGGGGTTATCATGTTTTGGAGGTCCCAGGTACGTCCTAAAACCTCAGCCTGTTTATCCCTAAACCCTCAAGGTAGCCCGCCAACCACCGAGTGCGGAGGGATACTGGGTCGTGGCCAGGCCACTTCTCAAACTAATGCTGTTACGAACCCAGTTTAAGATTCCTACAGTAGGTCACCGCCGGAACGGATTTGGGTTAACCCCGAACCCTGGCCCGTTCGTGCGACACGCGCAAACGCAGAAACTTTGTATCGGCCGAGTGGCTCATGTAGGTGATGCAAGGCACGTTGAACTTCCCCTGGTCGACATCCACGCTGGTCAAGATGTTGCCGGTGGCGAAGAAGCAGCCTTTGCCCACCACCAGCGTCTCCGGAAGGGTCACCTGGCAGGGACAACGGAAGGGCGCGGGCCAAGCCTTTTTCTGCGGTGCTGCAGCAGTCTATATGCTCGCAGCCTGCAAGCCCATAGCGCATCCGTGTCCGAAGGTGGCACCGCACATCCGGATGAAGGCAGGGACAATGGAAGCATCTGCTAGCATCTCTGACGCCTGCAGCACCATGGACATCTTCAAGGCGGCGATCTGCGCCCTGATGCTCAGCAAGGAAGAGGTGAAGGGCGGCTTCACTTTGGGCAGAACCCGGCAGAGGACGGCGGTTCCGCCGAGTTGGAGCACCTAAGACGCAAGAGATGCCACGCCAGTAAGCCCAACCGCATGCGAGGTGCAAGGGCCAACACAATGGGACAAGAAAGGTGAACAAACCCCAGCTCAAGAACAGCATATGCCTGGGTGCCGCACCGTGTTCAACATGGAAGCCCCGAACGCGATGAGCGGAATCCATTTTAGCCGATCCATCATCTCTGTGGGCAGCACGTCCACATGCTCCGGATACATGGACTCTTCCCTGACTACTTCCTGATGATTCCAAGGATACGAGCTGAGCAGCTGGAACGCCAAGACGCCAATGAGCGGCATCAGCGCTTTGGGAAGGAGCAACATCCAGTAGGCTGTGGCAAAGAAGGCCGCGCGAGTTCGAAAGTTTCGGACTTCTGCAGGGTCAGGCAACCTGCAGAGATCTTTGGGCCCCACAACTTGAGCAGGAACGCCACACACACGGCCATCCACCAGCATGCCAGAAGGGACGGCTGACAAAGGCTCCACATAGCCCGCAGCTGCAATCTCACATCCCGGCTCCAAAGTGCAGTTGGGGCCCACATAGGCGCCCGCACCCACCTTCACGGGTTTCAGGACCATGCGCCTGCTGCCATAGTTCACGGCGGTCAGGTGTCGAGGGCCATGGACGGTCGCCAAGTCGCCGACTGAAACGAGGTCATACGCCACCACGCGAGCAGTGACCACTGAGGTCAGTCGGACATCTGCGCCGAGGGCCCTCAAAGCCAGGTTGCGCAGAAACAAGAAGGCGATGTTGCTTCCCTGATGCGCATTCTGGCCCACAATGGTGCCCTTCGCCATGTGCTCTACCAGCCAATGACGCAGATAGAACAAGCTGTAGATGTCATGATCACCTGCCTTGTAGCGACCGATCAGAGACCACTTCACAGCCACCAAGATGAACACCCGAACGAACTGCTCCAGCGTCAGCACAGCTATCAGCAAGAGGAAGGTCTGCCAGACGGGCAGCATGAACGACAAAGGCAGCAGAACTCTTTCCGCAAGAAGCAGGCGAGACGCCACAAAGACCGGCTGTCCCAAAATGGCCAGGCCTTGCACCGCAGCACATAGCACGGGCCAGCTGCGATTGCCGAAGCTCTCCGTTCCCTCTGCCTGGCTTTGTCCAAGGATGTAGGGAGCTAAAGATGAAGCCAAAGAGAGCAAGGAAGAAGATCGAAGAGCTTGTGAACGGAGGCTTTCTGCAGTTCCCGCGGGAGCGTACTTGGGAAACGACGGAACTGCCGTGAACCCACCGTCCACTGGCAGCTGCAGGATCTTGCGCTGGCCCGCATGGCTCGCACCACAACGTGGGACTTTGTCATGCTCGCAGATCAGAAGCTCAGCCCGCATCTGCCGCAGCTGTTCAGCATCATAGGCCAGCAGCGTGGCTCCTCGGGCCAAGATGCTCCAAGTGCTGAGGATGTCGCCTGCAGTGCCCGACACTGTGAGGCTGGAGACGCGCCCGCCTTCCACGACTGGGCGCCAAGCGGCGAGCGCTTGCAGCACGGCGCGGTGCGATGCCGGGATTGCGCACTGCACGCCTCCCCTCACTTCCAGGGCAACGCAGCACACGTCGTCACCTTGCATGGCCCTTCTGGCCTTGGGCGGCTGCGACAGCAGGGAACCCACTGCTTTCGCATCGAGCAGACTCATCTGGGAGGAAGCGTCGCAAAGCTTGGCCAGCTGACCCCAGCTGCTGTCATCGGAGCTGGCCAAGACGAAATCCGGCTTCAGCACTTCGATCTGCTCCGCACAATCCGGTCCGAGAAGGCTGAAGACGCACCCTTCACGGAGAACCCCCAACATGGCACCCAGCCTAGTCATGGACTCCAGGCATATTGCCACGACGCTTCCCCTGGACGGCTTGGCTTCATGCAAGAGTCGCTGATAGGCTGTCATCTGACGACGCAGCTGCAAGTAGCTCAATGACTCATAGCTCCCCTCGAGGCAGACGGCGTGGGGCTGCTCCTTCACAGCCTCAAGGAAGGAATCCAGCAGGTCCGGTTCCAGGCTCACTTCGTCCTCAGAGTCTGATTCCGCTGACTGCTCAGCAAGAGCTGCGGCCAACGATCGAACCGTGGGGCGGTCAAAGAGCATCTGCAGGTCGATCTTCTGCAGCCTCGGCTTGGACCTCATCTGAGAGATCAGTCGTCCGAAACCTCCGGAGTCGACGCCGAGATCCTCCATGAAATGTGAGTCCCGGCTCCACTCCGCAACGTTCAACTGTGGAGCCAAGCAGGCTGCGATTTCGAGCTCGAGATCTGACACCCCGGTCTTATCGAAGGCCTCCCAGCCATCTTTCTTCACCTCCGCATTCATCTCCTCATCCAGGGGAACCACATTCCGCAAGAGCTTTCCGGAGGCGTTGAACTTCCAGGCGTCGTTCTCTACGATCTTCACCTGGCTCAGAACGTAGCCCCGGCCCAGCGACGCGGCCGTCGCTTTCAGCTCCGCCTCCGAAACATCCCCTGAAGTTCCTGAAGCCAGCAGCACCAAACTCTGGCCGTCCAGAACACGAGCCTCGCAGTTCGGTCGCCACGAATTTCAACAGTCTGACTAAATTCAACAGTTTCACTGGAGTCTTACAGATACAAAAAAAGGCCTCGCAGTGCTTCACCGCCGGCAACTCCACGATCGCCTGCTCCAAGGCTTCCAGCTCGATCCGAATGCCGCGCACCTTCACCTGGAAAAACGCTTTGAAAAAAACACAAGTAAACTAAGCAATCCAAACGGAGAACGCACTCTCTCTCTCACACACACACACACTCATCATCACTCACCAGGGGGGGTGTCCCTTCTTCAGAAAGCAGGGCCGTCGCCTGCCAGTCCACTCGGCCGTGGTAGTGGATCCGCCCAGACTCATCGCGGAGCGCCAGGTCTCCGGTGTTGTAGACACGGCCGATGCCCGGCAACTCCACGAACTTGGCCTTGGTCTTCTCCTCCTCTTCGAGATAGCCTCGGGCCAGACCGATGCCCCCCACGAAGAGCACGCCGCGCTCTCCATCCGCTTTCCGTTCCAGCGTCTCGGGGTCCAGGATGTGGCACGTGTAGGTGGGCAACTCGGCGCCGATGGTGATGATCTCGTCGGGCTTCACGTAAGCGCCCGTACAAACCACCGAGATTTCCGAGGGCCCGTAGCTGTTGAAGAGGCGACGGCCTGGGGCCCAAGTGGACACGACGTCCGCGCCCAGCGCCTCTCCTCCGACGTCCAGGATTCTCAAGTGCGGAAGCCCTGCGGAACTTCTTGAGACGTCGGCTCCGCCCCCAGCCATGGTGCGCAAGTGCGAAGGCACCACGCTCATCCCGGTGATCATCCGGTCCTTCAGCCAGACTTGCATGTCCGGGCCCGACTTCTTGATCATATCCGGGCAAGTGACACTCGTGGCTCCCACCGACATGGTGCCGTAGACTTCGATGATGTGCACGTCCCAGGACATGGAAGCAACCTGAGCAAACCGATCATGAGGGCCAAGACCCACATACCTCCCCCAGATGCGCACCACGTTCAAGGCCGACTTGTGTCGGATCATTACAGCCTTGGGCTTTCCCGTGGACCCACTTGTGAAGATCAGGTAAGCCAACCTATCCAAATCGTTTTGGTCATGCTTGGCAGCTGGGAGCATGCCCCGGCTGTCCGCCTTCTTCAAGGCCAAGTCAGCATCGATGACAACGCGGGGGAAGTCGCCCAAAGTCGCTGCAACGTCCGTGAGAGCGAGTCGCTTCAAGACGTCGGCGGAGGAAATCATCACTGGCGGGCGAGAGACTTCCACCCAGCTTCGAAGCTTCTCCACGGGCTCTCCAACGTCGAAGGCGTTGTACGCACACCCCTCCAGCATCACGGCGTGGACGGCTGCGATGCTCTTCACGCCTCGGTCAAGCACGATGGTCACCACATGCTCGTCCGATCTGCGCTGGTGGGCTTCCGGCACCTCGCTGGGCGACGCGCTCGGGAGGTCCAAGGAAGCCAAGGCCTTGCGGAGGACTTTGCGGATCGAGTTCGCCATGCGAGCGACCTGCAGGAGCCAGACCGGAGCAAAACAGATCTACATCATTCTACATTTACATACATGCATGTGGAGCCCAACCTATCGGCAAACTTCAGGAAGAGCCTTCCGAGCACAGGCCCACACATGCTCACTGGTGCCTTCTGCAAACTAGGCATTCGGGCGAGAAGTGCTCTCTAGTTTCCTGCATGACTTGGGACACAAACAACACAGCGCAGCGCGGCCCGAATGCAACTTGGGACAACCAACGAGCTCTCCCGGCTCAAGAGGCTTCTGCTCCCAAAAGCGCCAGTTTCCCTTGTTCCATGGACAACCCCGTCGTCGTCAAAGCTTTGGGCTAAGAGGGGAGGGAGGGGGGGGGCCTGCGCGAAGGTGTAGCTTTCGCCCTCGACTTCCAGGCAGACGCGGTCCGGAGTTGCTTCTGCAGCTGTCAAGAGAAGTTCGGCCAGGTTTGTCTCGATCCCGGGCATGCACTGTTGTCCGCACACATCAACCAGCGACAGCTCTTCGAGAGATGGCACAGCGTCGATCACAGCCATTGCGACTTTACAAGCGAAGCTGTAGATCGAGGTGTTGAGAGGTGCGCGGGGCTCTGAATGCAAAATGCTGGAGCCGAGATGCACAAAGGCCGTTGACTCCAAACGAGGCCTCAAAACCACCGACCCTGGCTGCACTGGTTGGAAGATAGTGGTGCCCATCCACATGCCACCTAGCAAAGATATCCAAAAGGCAGGGATTTGTAGGAAGTTGGGTTCCTCTCCTTTTGCGTTGCTCCTACACCCGCTGTACTGTACAAGGGTGAACCATGGTGAATCTAAACATGCTTTGCGACGTTGCTGAGTCCTTCTGACTCAACAGCGGCTAGCACTGCGACTATACACGTTGCCGGCTCGCAAAAGTGTCACGCATGCCACTCCTGTGATCAATGTGCGAAGGCTTTGCGCGAGAGCGCAAGGAGTCCTTCGGACTCAACAAAATTGAAGGCCGAGCATCGTCTTTCTACAAGTTGCCCAGCTCGCAAAAACATGTAGCATGCCACATCCGAGAAAGATTCCGCCTTTCCTGACTGGACTTCACTTCGCCATCGGCAACCTCGCTTTGCCCTGCAAGAGCGTGGGAGCGGGATGAGCAGGCCCCCTCTCGAGGTCATCCAGGGCGGATGCAAGCGCACCCTCGTAGACAACACCGAGGATGCTTGGTGGAACAATTGGTGATATGGTTTTTCTTGGTTACAACTATGATTCCCGTGGTGACAACTATGACTCCTATCGCAACAAATACCAGCAGGACAGGCACCATGTCAACGAGCCAGCATGGAGCCAGGAGAAGTCTGGGTGAGCAGACGTCTATTGGTTCTTCAGCAAACACCACGCCCATGGCTAAGCCCATTCAGGACATAGCGCCTATGAGCAGGAAGCCTCCAATACCACCGAGCCATCCTACCCCGGAGCCAGGAGCTCCCCCAAGGATTTTCTGGACTCGCAAGGTGGCTGCGGTGGTTGGTCGCACGAGCAGGTACAGAGCCCTGCTTGGACTGCAGAAAGGACTAAGGCCCCGCCTCTTTTTTTGGGGGGGTTATATACAGGAGCCCCGCAGAACCCCCCAATCGGCTGCAAAACGGTGATGCAGGCCTTTTCAGCCACAAGTCCACAATCCCGGCTCGACATTCCCTAGCTTCACCCGAAACGGAGTCCTCACCAAGCTACCCGGGAGATGAGCTCCAGTTGTCAATCAGCCGCGGAGCCCAAGTACGTCCGAGTCTCTCGGTGAAGGCGGGCAGGCAGCGGCCGAACTGCGTCATCAGCAGCCCTGCATTGCGCAAGTCGGGCATGCCTCCGTAGGCAAGCCTTCACAGTCTGGGCAACCATGCCTCACCAGCGTACTGCAGAAGTGAATAGTAGGAACTGGGTGACACATGGCGATTTGTGTTCATGTGTCAGACACCACAACGGGATCGATTGCAATCAACAGCCCACAAGTCCAGCGCCCCGGCAGACACAGCTGGACAGCATACTGCAGCAGAGATTGGGCGACATCGTGCTTCTTGTTCACGGCTTGTTCAACCCCAAATGCGTCTGCAGGACGTGCAAGCCGCGCACAAAAATCGCACCCTCTCACGCAAGGCATTCTCGGCGTCCCATCTTGTTCCAGCGTGGGAAAATAGAAGCCGGGAAGCCCTTCACACAGCGATGCGAGCAAATGCAATATGTTGCAATATACTGATATGGGTCCACAAGGCCACGCGCCGACACGCAACCCTTACCCTTCAGGCTCTTGAAGGCATCCTTGCATGCAACATCTAACGTGCCCCCTGCCTTTTGGCTGCAACAGTGCAACTTTCATGGAAGGGGACGCGCGGCGCGGACCATTTTCATGGAGCAACTTTGGGGGGGCAACTAGACCCCGCATAGAAATCAGCCCCCGACAAACACCACGAGACTCTTCACACGGGAAACGTGGCGACTTCAGGAAATGGCAGAGCACGTCACTTCATTCCGAGACCTACGTCTTTTGCAAAGCAGAAGTGCTCAGATCGATCAGACCGCCGCGATGATCGCGCAGGGTTGTTGCCGGATCGTAAGTGTTGGCGGACTCCAGCGCTATTGCCTGCGGCAGGGGAATGTCTCTCTGTTAAAGGTCCGCCCGGACGGCTTTACCCAGAATTGCCAATGCTTTGCTGGCACTTTCCCTCTGCCCTCTGCCCTGCCTGTTGTAGCCCAGCTTGTTCAGCAACACGTGTGCACTGAGCTGCCAGCTGCTTGCATCTAAGCCATGGCGTCCTGTGGCAGATAGACATAGATTAACCTGAAGGGGCTCAGGAGGGAGCTATGCTAAAACAGGCATGGATTGCTTCTGTAAGGTACTGATATGACTTGGATAAATTTCAGGGTTCCAACTGAGAATTGCCATCATGGTCATGGAAGCACTGCTGCCCCCAGCCTCCACGTACATGTTGGCAAGCGAAAAGTTCTTGCCGCGGAGCAGTACATCTCAGTCCTCAACCCGAAACCCTGGACCATAAGCTCTTGCCCTGCCTGCATCTCGCCCTCAACTCGACGCCCCAAATCCCCGATCCCACATGCACGAGCCCTGGCCCTAACAGCGGAATTTGGCTTAGGGCCTGGTGATGTTTCGAGAGTTTATAGGGCTTAGGGAAAACCACGAAGAACAAGCAACCTCTCCCGGCGAGACAGGAACGAACACACTGGAGTGATTGACTGTTGCCACTCCTCGACGTCAGCAGGCGCCGCCGATTCCTCCATGTCCTGGTTGTACAACATCTCGCCCGTAGATGTCGCAGTATCAATAGGCCCAGTGAAGGACAGCTATTGATGCGGGAGCCCCCCCACGGGTGAATGGCCAAAATCTGTAACTGAGTGGCGAAGCCAATTCCCAACAGCAAAAGTGCTCCAAGAAATCGCAGTAAATCGGAGCAGTCAGAGAAGTTGCAGAGGGATCCGGAGGTCCGGGAGTGGACTCCGACAAGCGAAGAAACTACACTCACCTGAAAACCAGAATGCCTCAAGGTTGTCACCGCATTGTACAGCTCAAGGATCACAGCCCCAATACCCAGGCTTAGGGCGTTTTAGGGTTTAAGGGTTTCAGGTTTAGAGTGGTTTAGGGTGCAGGGTTTAGGTTTCAGGGTTCAGCATCTCAAATGTCAAGCCAGTTTCTTCGCGCATGTGTTTCACGGCTCGATGAGTACCCGGAGACCAGAGTCCAGGCTTTGGGGCTTCAGAGTTCAGGCTTCAAGGTGTAGGGGTTTAGGGTTTATAGGGTTTAGGGTTCAGGGCTTAGAGTTTAGGGTTTAGGGATTAGGGTTTAGGGTTAAGGGTTTAGGGGCTGTTAGGCTGTCAGGAATCTGGGCTGGCACAAACGCTGGCTGCGCCAAGCCCGGCTGCTGTTTCATGACAATGAGCTCATTCTCAACTTGCCGAAGACTTGCCATAAACTTGACAGGGGCTCCTTGCTAAGGTACCCTCACACGGTAAACCTTCTTACTAGCTTGGGTATATACATATGATCATACAGGTCCTCGAATATGCGGAAGTAAGACGTGAATAGGACAACAGCAAAGTTCACGCCTGTTTCTGCCGATGGGCAGCACCAGTTCTCAAATCCTCTTCAGGCCTTTACGAGGCCATGTGGAGCAGAGCATAAGGGCAAGTGTGAGATGATTGAGGATGTATAGGGGTCCTCGCAATGAGGTATAGACAATGAACAATCTCAAGAGCAGGACGCAAAGAGGCCAAGATCGCCGGCTTGTTGCCGCAGGCTGTGCCAAACCTAATCACGCCTGGTTCTCCTGAAAGGAAAGGAAGCAGCATCTCTGGCTTCATAAAAGCCAAAAAGCCTCTTCGAGGCAATTTGGGGTAAGCTGCACATGCACCCAGCATCACCACGGCCATTTATGACCCTGAGACGCATGCTCCTTGCAGGGTCCGACGCGAAGTGCGAACTACTAAATTAGACTTAAAGGAGATTACTATATTATAGCCACATATAGCATACCATACTATATCAGTGTATAGCATACACCCGCAGCTTATGGCACTTCGGGCTCAAAGTTTCGGTGTCTGATTTGTGGGCTTACGGCCTGATCAGACGAGAAGACCACAGGGCTTTACCATGCTTGTATTATTTGCAGTACTAAAATAGTACTAGTATAGTAATATTCTAGCACTATCAGAATATTACTGCAGTATTAAGAAGCCTGTGGGGGAGTCTTCGTCCGTCAACCCCAAGACATCCTCCAAGTGACAAAACGAGTACGAATGTAAAAACAAAAATAAGAATAGTAATAATGGTAGTAATCATAATAATTAATAATAGTAATTACAATTTTTTTGGTTTAATAGTGGTAGTAATAATTATTCTAGCAATAATGATAATAAGACCTCCGAATAGACCTTCAGAAGCTACATCCGTACAGAGGGCTTCGAAGCCTTGACCCCAAAAACCCTCTGAGTTGCCACCTGGCGAGCCCGCAAGCCCCAAAAACCCCTAAACTCTAAACCCTCAACCCTATAAACCTTAAACCCTAAACCCTAAACCCTAAACCCTAAACCCGAAACCCTAAACCCTAAACCCTAAACCCTAGACCCTAAAAACCCTAAACCCCAAGCTTCCCGAAATCATTCCCATCCCTGCACCAAGACCCGAAGAAGATGCCAAGCGACTCAGGGCATGGCCCAACTTGTAAAGGTCGCGCCGGAAGATCGCCGCGAAGCAGGGCGCCTGCAGCAAGCCCAACTTTGTCCCGGGTTTGCTTTGAGGTTTGTAGGCTACATGGAGGTTTACGAAAATAGGGGGCCCCTAAAATTGCCCCGCAAATAGTAGGACGCCAGTTTGGACGCCAGTTTGATAAGACCCAGTAAGGTAACCCGAATTTGGGAAACCGCCATGTAGGGCTTAGCTTTCGAATGTTTAGGCGGGCTTGGGCTATCGCTTCTAGGGTGCAGGGTTTACAGTAGCTGGACGAACCACGGGTTTACGGTTTAACGTCCAGGGTTCAGGGTTTAGGCTCGACTCTAACAGTGCTTCTTGGCGTGGTATGGAGTTTAGGGTTTGGGGCTTGGGATTTATAGGGTTTAGGGTTCCTCGCAGAATCTGGCAGCACCATCCCCCCTCCAATCGACGAGGGGCTGTCACCACAAGGGTTGCCAGCGCACCAGGCAGCCCCAGAGTACGGTAGACTGCCGGCCTCCTCCATGTTTTGACACTGAAAGCTCCAAACCCTGAACCCTAGGACAGGCCGAAGCAGTTCAGGGGCCAGAATTCTAAACCCTGAACCTTAAACCCCGAAAACCGACCCGAACGTGTGCGTGACAGTGCCTTTTGGGACTTCAACATGCCAAGCTTCGTCAAAAAGATTCCGACCGACAGAAGAAAGACCAGCATCACACCTCAGACACGCGGCCCAAGGCCCAAATCAGATAACCTACTACAATGGAACTAGAATAGTACTTGTACTATAGTGGCATTGTAACAGTACTATTATGCCACCGACGCGACCGGAAAGCCTAAACCTTAAACCCTCAACCCAACAAAAGGGATACTCAAACAGCTCTGCAACCGCCACTCTGCAGGTAGTCCATGCCCCGGCTCGCAAACTTGGGCTGGGCAAAGTGCTTCGCGAGGATGAACAACACCTCCGAGACTTTTTTTCACGTACGTGTGTACATACTATAGTATACTATAGTATACTATAGTATACTATAGTATACTATAGTATACTATAGTATACTATAGTATACTATAGTATACTATAGTATACTATAGTATACTATAGTATACTATAGTATACTATAGTATACTATAGTATACGATCGTCTACTATAGTATACTATAAGAGATTATAGCAGACTATAGTAGGAAAAATTATACCACGTTATGGTATACTACAGCACACCATCATCGACTAAAGGAAACTATGCCATACTGCATAGCATATGCTGAAGCCTGTGCGCCCACGCATCATGAACATCCGTCCATGGAGAAAAATAAAAAGTAAAAAAAAAAAAAAGCACGCAGCGGACCTTCACCAGAATCGCGCCGCCCAGGATGCCCGACAGGCCCTCTCCAAGGCAGTAGGTCCACAATACCTCGTGAAGGCTCGTGCAACTGTTCATGCCCGTTGTCCCTAGGAATCGTATGAAGACTGCAAAAACACTACGGTAATACTGTCCGCCGAACCCGGCAAGCTGGGGGCGAGTGCCAGTAGGGTTGAGTCAGAAAACGTGGGCAGCAAAACGGAAAGCTTCAATCAGACAACGGGAGGGCACATTCAAGAATCGCACAGGCCTCAGTCCGAAAACGCGAAGGGCTGACTCAGCAAACCGTGCGGGCTGAGTCAGCAAAACCCAAAGCCTCAAATTGCCGCGCACGCCGAGGAAAAAATCACCCAAAGGCCCCAAATCCGGAACACGTAGGCGACAAGAGACAAACGAATGCGACATTCGGAAAACGCGCAGCCGCCGTAAGAAGATGAGGCTCAGTGCGAAAACGCGACAAGCTTCGAACGCGCGAACAAAACCGCGACAGGAGGAGAAGAAAAGTTTTGGTCAATCGCGTCGAAATCAAAAACGAAGGAGCTAGTCAGAAAACGAGCAGCCATCAAACAAAGGGGCTCAATGCGAAAATGCGACAAGCTTCGAACGTGCGAACGGAACCGCGACAGGAGGTCAATCCGTGTGTCCGGAAGCCTCAATCGAAAAACGAAGGAGCTAGTCGGAAAAACGTGCAGCCGCAAAACGAAGAGGCTCAGCGCGAAAACGAGACAAGCTTCGCGCGAACGGAACCGACAGGAGGAGGAGGAGGAGGAGAAGAAAAGTTTGGTCATCTAGTCAATCGCGTGCTGAAACTCGTCGTTGTGGAGAAGACCAAGAGCTTGAACCAGGGATAAGGTCCTGTTTGATTTCGTTCCGCCGTTGGGAGTAGCTCAGTAGCTGCTACATGATCTTTTCGCCTGAGCCCTGTAGAGGCACAGGGATTACCAGGGCCCAACGGTAGCAAGGCCCCGAAAGAATCCCCCACGCCCAACGCTGGCTGTTTGCCATGGTTAGCTGTTGTCTGCACACTGCGGCGCGCCGCTAGGTAGCAGCCAAATTCTCCTTCGTTCTCTTCAGACTCGCAGAAGCCAAAAGCCTGGAAACCCCATGTCCAGCGTTGAAGAATTTCCGAAAAGAGTCAAACTGTACACAAACATGTAGGGATGACATCACGTCTGTACGACAACGCAGTTGGGGGGGGAAAACGGTGTCCCTTGGGGCCCGTGGACTAAAAACCCCCCCCAACCAACCTCGATGAAGGCTGGAGCAAGCTTGGAGCCTCCGGCCTCCCTGCCCTAAACCCTAAACCCTAAACCCTAAACCCTGAACCCTAAACCCTAAACCCTAAACCCTAAACCCTAATATCTCCCAGGGCCCCGGAGGCGTCTGCAGGAGCGATGCGCGTCCCTTCAGGACAGGCCACGTGACCGCCCTGCCGACGTCGAGAAAATTGCCCCCCGAAATCACAGAAAGGCAGAAAAACTCAATGAACTCCAAATTGAATGCGCCAGCAAACTCGAAAATTTAAAGTCTAAATCGGATTTTTCACAAAACAGGTCCGTCGAAAAATTTTTCGACGCTGGCCGAACGGACTTCCCTACCTGCCAGTGACATCTTGGTTTCAAACTCATCCCAAGAAAGCCCCTCAGGTGAAATCCTTGTTTCAAGCTGGGCCCAAAAAAGCCCCCACCGGTGAAATCTTGTTTTCAAGTTGGGCCCAAGAAGGCCCTTCCAGTCAAATCTTTGTTCCAAGTTGGGCCCAACAAGGCCCTGCCAGTGAAATCTTGGTTTCTAGTTCATGCCGAGAAAGCCCCTCCGGCGAAATCTTGGTTTCCAGTTGAACCCAAAAAGGCCCTCCGTCGAAACCTTGAGCTTCAAGTTGCACCCAAAAACAGCCCCTCCGATGAAATTAGGCTGTCAAGTTGGGCAAAAGAAGTCCCCTCCGGTGAAATCTTGGTTTCAGGTTGAGCCCAAGAAGGCCTTCACGTGAAATCTTGGTTTCAAGTTGATCCCAAGAAGGCCCCCCCCGCTGCTCGGCGGCACGATATCCATGACGACATCCATGACGAATGCATGACGACGAATCCATGACGACATCCATGACGACATCTATCCATGCGTCAACGACAATGAAGAAGCTTCACGAAAACCACCTCCGCTAAAAAATAGTCGCCAAGTGCGTCGCTGTAAACCTAACCCTACACGCAGAGGGTTGCCGATCGCACCCTGCGAAAACACAGAGGGTTGTCGTTCCTGGACGAAAATGCGCACGCCTCCCACGCGCCAGCGTCGCGACACGCCGCGGCCACATGAGGCCACGCAAAGGATTGTCGTTCGCGGACGAAAATACGAACTCCCACCCGCAAGCGTCGCGACACCCCGCGGCCGCGCAGAGGGTTGTCGTTCGCATGCGAACACCTTCGCGCCAGCACGATTTGTGGGCAGGTGCGGCGAGTACCCGTGCTTAACTTTAAAGCATATGATTTTACATATCTAACAGGAAAGCCGCACAGTCCATCACGCCATCCATCCAGCCATCATCCATCACGAAAACATACGAAAACCATACATGCGTCATCGATAACGACGAAACTTCCCGAAGACCACCACCGCTGAAAATCGTCGCATGCATTCGGGAAAACGCTAGCAGCTTTTTTGCCCTCTACTTTCACCCAAACCCTTGTCCCCCACCTTCTTGGCCCCCCCACCCATCCTCTGCCCCCCGACCCCCTCCCCCTTGTCCTGTGGCTCTGCGCCTGAGCCGGGCGGCTGTTACGGGGTCGGGGGAAGCGGGGTTATCCCTAGATAGTACTTTAAACTATAACACTACTCTTGTACTATGGTAGTAGTACACTAGTCATCACTAGTCAACTCAAGCACGCCACCTCGCTGGGCGCTCCTGCCTTCCAGAGTGCCCCCACCACGTCGGCGTAGATGGCGACCGGCGGAGTATATGCAAGCAGGCAGTAAGACATGGGAGCCCGCGTCTCTGCGTACACCTGCAACAGCTCATCCCGAAGCGGCCCGCGGACATATTCTGCAAATGCATCGATGCTTCCATACCACTCGGCCACCGCCGTGAGAATGAATTGCCGATCATCGTCACTCGAGCAGGAGACCCGACTTAGGTCAAAGCTCGCCATATCCCGAAGGCTTCGCTGCTGCTCTTGGAACCCCTTCCGAATGGTGTGCACGCCGGGCAGCAGGGCACCGCAAGCCAAGAGCGTGGGAATAGCAACCGCGCCCCTCAACCTCAAACCTGTGTTAATGACGTGGAAGGTGCAGCTGAACAGGAAGGTGCAGAACCAAAAAACCAGGAAGTTACGTTCCACAAGCAGGGGCTGGAAGACCAGCTTGCCTTGCGGATTGGCCCTGCGATATCCGGCAAGTTCGAAGATGCACCACAACCTCGTCAGGTAAGGCACCTTGTAGGATTGCAGGAGTGTAGGCCCTAGACCCTAAACACCCTAACCCCTAGACCCTAAAGCCCTAAAGCCCTAAACCCCTAAACCCCAAAACCCCTAAACCCTAAACCCGATGCTTCCAGGAAACATGAAGCAACAAGCTACCAGGCAAAAAGAATGGCAATTATGCGGACCCACAGTCATACCTAAGACCTAAGCCCTGTAAACCCTAAATGTCGACAGGGCGCAGACCACAGGATGCGCAGCTCCTTGGCAACGGTCATGTAGCCTCCGATGCTATAGATGCCTCGCTCGCGCAAACGCATGTCCTTTGCTGGCAAAGCATCGGTTAGGGCAACTAATACGAGCCCGAAGGCACCGAGGCTTAAACCACAAGGGCCTAGTCGGCCTAGTCAGCCGAGGATCTGTTTGATGTATGCATGCCACGTCCATGAAAACGGCGAATCTCTGGCAAGGAAAAGAAGGGGCGCTCAGCAGGGTCAGGAGCGACACCACGAATCCCGAGATGGTTGCCCAGGGTCCGCAGGGGATCTCATACCGCCACTGGGCAAACTCCGCAGCGAAGGTCAAAGGCATTGGCAAGATGTCAAACACATACATGATCACGATCCCAAGGCACGTCACGGCAAAAGAAAGCACGGCAAAGTGCCAGTAGGAACGCAACAAAAGAGACAAAAACTTCTGGTATCCAGGTGTCCACCATGTGTGCGATAGGAAGGCATCGTATGAATCTGCCTTCTGGGAAGATTGCCACAAGCTTAGCAACTCGTCCTGGCTCATTTTGTTCGGCCGCGATCGCCAAAGATGGCCCAAACCCTGCAAAGTGCGTGCCAGCGGGACTGAGCGGGCGATTTCGCGATCAAGCGCCAAATGGGCACTTTGCTCCAAGCGGCTTTGGCTCCCTCGCGGCTCCCGTCGGACCATGAGGGACGCAGTTGCAATTGCAGGGTCGATGTCTGGACGATTCTTCATGGGCTCCCCTTCCGCGTCGCAATCGAATGTGCACATGGGCTCCTGCGTATCTGCAAAGCATTCCATCGAATGGATGGTCTTGCGAGTCGCACCTTCTTCTGCATCGGCATTGCCTTGATCGGCGCAACAATCTACGCCCCCATGACACGCCGCCGCTCCCATGCTGGGAAGACAGAACGGTCCGCAACCCTCTTGGAGAGCTGGCTCGACACATGCACATCCATGCAATGCCATGCCTGTGAAGGCCTCAACCTTACGTGCGGACGCATTTCTGCTAAACTGTGCAGGGGTGGTTTATAGGGCGTTCACCCAGGCCCTGTATGCGCAGTTGAGCGTTTGAGGTGAAGGAAAGTTTGCCCTCCAGCTCCTGGAATCCTGTGGGCGACATTAGAGGGTCCTGAAGGGAGGGGGGTTCATGGCGGGTAGGTACCTAGGGAACCTTCGGGACCCTGAGCCCTAAACCCTAAACCCTAAACCCTAAACCCTAAACCCTAAACCCTAAACCCTAACCGTAAACCCTAACCGCCCCCTGGAACCCCTTGAACCCCCCTCCCTTAAGGACCCTATAAGAAAACCTCAGGCCTTGGTCTCATCAAACTCGGCCGCGGCCCACCGAGCCCCTTGGCGGTTTAGGGTTTAGGGTTTAGGGTTAGGGTTTAGGGCTTAGGGTATAGGGTTTAAGGATTAGGGTTCAGGGTTTAGGGTTTAAGCCTTAGGGTTTAGGGTTTAGGGCTTAGGGCATGGGGCTTCAGGGACAAGAAAGTGGCTTCACAGTTTGAGAACCGATGAGAACCGCATGGCCGAAACCCTAAACCAAGTTGCGCCAAAGGCCCCAACACCAACACACACACACACACACACACACATACATACATACATATATATATATACATATATATATGTATATACATATATGTATATATATATATGTATATATATATATATATATCTATCTATCTATAGATCAGTTGTGCTTAAAGGCGTTGTACACGGATTGTGCCAGGTCCCTTCAGAGGGGATTCATCGGGACTATGCCGGCTGCATAGCGTCTAGGTTGTACGGTGTGCGTAGTGATTCAACTAGCTAACTGGAGCGCACTGGACCGTACATATACACATATGTCTACAGCTATATACATACTTTACATTGTCATTATTTTGATAGCATATATATATATACACATAACATATTTCATATGCATCAAGAAACTTTACACAATGAATAACAATAAAAGACAAATAACAAGGTAGCAAATGCACAAACAATTATTTTACTTGAAACATCCCCATCCTCTCCGGGTAGAGATACGTACTCTGGGGTTGGGCACTCCAGGATTGGCTAGACACTTTGGCATTGGGCTAGGGACACACTGGGGTTGGGGGACACTCTGGAGTTCACTCCAGAAACAGTCTGGGGTTGGGCACTCTAGGGCACTCTGGGGTTGGGCACTCCAGGAACACTTTCGGGTTGGGTATTCTAGGGACAATTTGGGATTGGGCACTCCAAGGACACTCTGGGGTTGGCCACTCCAAGGACACTCTGGGGTTGGGCACCCATGACCTCCGAAATCATGCCATGGAGCATCTCTGCTGAGTACCCATTTCCTTCATCAGGCAGCTCGATGTTTCGGGTGTGCTTCTGCGAAAGCCCTGCCTTGTGGTGTGGTTGTGGTCAGGGTCTAGGGTTTTTAAGAGCGAACAAGTCTGTTTCCAAGCCAGGCTCCCCTCCGCGTTTTGTCGCCCAAGTCTAGGCGTCCCAGGTTCCGCAGATGCCAGGTCCTCAGGTCCCTATTGCAGCACAGGCTTTCTCTGTTCTTGTTTACCATTTTGTTCTTGGGTCAAACAGCACTCAGGGGCCTTAATCTCCGATATATCGGAGGTTTAAGCTGCGCGGGGGGGGGGGCGCCCCCCCGTTTGGGGGTGACCACACAAGAAATCCTTGGAGGCTGGTGGACCTAAGCAGGGGGGGGTTCCCGATAAGGTGGGGGGGGTCCCCCCCTTAGGACCCCCCCCCCCCGCCCCCCCTTAGGTCAGCATTGTTACTTATCATTTCAGGGCTGAGCAGCGCGGTCTTCACACCTGCGCCCTAGCTTTCGTTCGCCCTGCTCTCAAGTTGCAAAGCAGGTGCTCAAGGACAACCAGCTTGACTTTGACATGTCGAATCAGGACAAATCGAAGGCGCAACGTTTCAGAGTGGGTTTAGATTAGGGTTTAGGGTGACAAAAGGGTACCGCACGCGCCTAACGAGACATGCTTTGGGCAGCATTCGGCATCAGGCAAAAACCTGAAGGCCTAAGCCCTAAACCCTAACCCCTAAACCCCTAGAAAACCCTGAGGCCCTGAGGCCTAAACCCTAAAATCCGGCCCGAATTCAACACCTGCCAACCCGAGCTGACAAATCGATGCACAGGCAGCACCCTAGCGTTTTCGCTTACCAGCTAGGAGGTCAGGAGCAGCTAGGGGGCGTGGCAGTCGCCTCAAGCGCGTTTCGCTGTTGCAGAGCTGTTAACATGCTGCAGGGGCGGGGGAGGCAGGCTCGCTGCTGGGTGTAGGGCGCGATTATTCGCATCAACGGGAACTGGATGCTTGGAAGGCACACGCCTTTGCTGCGTTCTCGCTCTTACCAGCAAACAAAAGCCCAGCGTTCTCGCTCTTACTAAGGGAAGTACACAAGCAAACAAACACCCACCTCGCCCCCACGCCGGCAAACTAACGCTAGCAGCATCTTAGCGCTCTATCAAGCTGGCGGGCCTGACAAAAGCAGTCGAGGCCCCTCTCGGGTTGTTTCGACGGTAATTTCGTTGCATGAGCTGCTCCCTCGAGGCGCAGGCTCGCTACCCCTCAACTGGCCCGGCACGCTTACACCGACAGGCAAGAAGACCATTCGGCTGTCAATCGCTTCGTGACTTGGGCCTGCCAGCGTGACTGCAGGTTTTGGGATCCCCCCCCCTCTTGGCTATTCCGAGATAACCGTGCAAGCTTAAGGCACCAAGCAAAGCTCCCTCTCTTCAACTTAGCCCCGCGCAACGGCCTAATTTGGATTACGGGAATTGCCAAGAGGAGAACTACAAGGGTGAGTCCCAACCCTCACAGTGCCAGGCGCAGCATGGGGCGGATCCCTCCGAAGGTCACTCGCACATTCAGGAGCTTGGGACGCCTGGCACAAGACCCACGGCGGTCTGTGCTGCAATAGGGACCTGAGGACCTATGGCATCTGCTGAACCTGGGACGCCTGGCAAATGACCCACAATGGTCTGTGCTGCAATAGGGACCTGAGAACCTGTGGCATCTACGCCTGGCACAAGACCCACGGCGGTCTGTGCTGCAATAGGGACCTGAGGACCTGCAGCATCTGCTGAACTTGGGACGCAAGGCAAAAGACCCACGGTGGCCCTGAGGCCCGGGTCTCCACAAGTCATTCGGCGCAGGGAAATCCCCCAGATGCTACCTTCGACACACGGAGTAAGCTGCAGGCTGCCAAGAAGGCCGCTTCTTGGCCAGTTCCTGCAAATTGCCTAAGGATAGGTTTCCGGGATAGTGGGTTCTGCCCTTTCCAGCTCACGGACCCTTGCAGGTCAAGCATGCAGACCGCCTAGCAGTTCTCTTGTTGGCCGGCTCTGGGCTAAGTGTCAGGGATAGTGGGTTTGCTTTGTGGTCTGTTCGCTAAAAATCGGCCGCTGCGCGGGGCAGTTCAAGTAATGGGGAGCAATTGTGCCACTTAGCAACAACCTACCTGCAGCACGCTGGGGACTTGTACTCAGGCTCTGTGGCATCCAAGCTGCAGCATGCCCAGAAGCCTGCTTTGTTCCTGCAGCCGCAAGCTGCAGGCTGCCAAGAAGGCCGCTTCTTGGCCAGTCCCTGCAAATTGCATAAGGATAGGTTTCCGGGATAGTGGGTTCAACTTGCCCCTTTTCAGGCTCGCGGGACACGTTTCGCTGCGCAACTGCCTGGCGCGCCTGTGAGCGTGGCACGGACCCTAACCCTTGCAGTCAGGGCAGCGACTGCGCTGAGGTTGCTTACTGCGCGCTTTCCTTGGTCAGTAAGAGCGAGAACGCCAAGGAAGTGTATTGTGCGTTCACGCAGCGAGGTCTCTGCCCTCACAGCACGCATCCGCGTGCTGTGAGAGCGCTGTGCTGCTACTGAACAAACTCACGATCTTTTGCAACTCGATTCTGAGCCTGAATGTCGCATCATGATCTCAGTTCAAGACGCTACTCCTACCAGGTCCAAAAGTCACATTCTGTTCTAGCAAAATATGGTTCACAGTACGGGAGAAAATGTTGATCACCCCGCCCAAATACGCTGCTTGCCCTCTTGGCTGCAACGTGTTTGCATCAACCTCAATCATCAACATGATGCACGTTTGTGACGGACCTTGGGCTCAATCAAGTATCGACTGTACACCTACATCTACAAACTGAACTACGCATGTCATGCCAGGCTGCATGACTGCTTGACTGACGCAAGCGGACGCCATGACACATCAGGAGATGTGTTGCACACTTGGTCACTAGGACCCGTAGTTGTGGAGATTGGGATGGCCTAATGCTCATACCTTCGGAGTTATGACTGCTCCACAGTCAACGCTTTCGGGTTGCATAACACAGGATTGTCAAACACACACCCATGCACAAGATCTGCTGACTTGGGCTTCTCTTTTTCCTGGCCCCGGAATGTCTTTTTTCCGACCCCGCGACCTTTTTCAACCCCGGAAAGTCTTTTTCTTGGCCTCGGTCTTTTTCCAGGCCTCGTTACGGGGCCCAAAAAAAAACAAATGTCTTTTTGACGACCCTGTTCGCAGCCGTCAAAGAAGGAACGACCGTCTTTTTCTCAACCCCGCAGCGTCTTGTGACCGACCCCGCTTCTTTTTCCGGACCCCGGAGTGTCTTTTTTTCAGCCTTTGCCGAACACACAGAGCTTCAAAAAGGAGGTGTAAAATGTTGCTGTAGCATTGCAAGCGAACAGGTGCAGTTCACAACTCTAAACTCTAAACCCTAAATCCCAAAACCCTAAACTCTGAATCCCTAAACCCCAAACTTTAAAACCTTAACCCCCAAAGCTCCAAACGCAAAAGTTAAAGTTCGACCCCCCCTTAAACCCCCCCTAAGCCCTCCCAAGCCCCCCTTAAGCTCCCCCTTAAGCCCCCCTTAAGCCCCCCCTTAAGCCCCCCCTGAAGCCCCCCCTGAAGCCCCTTCAGGATAACAAGAAACTAAGGGGGGTGGAATTTAAAATTCT